ACTTCTAGCATGCCTTGCAGGTCTGTGGCCAATACTGTCATCGCTATCTAAAAAATCATTTTCAACTTCAATTTGCATATTAGGTGCTCGGCCAAATCAACATACTCATTTTCCATATCACTTTGTTCCATAGAAAAAGTGTTAGAAACCTGTGGAGCAGGAAGCCCCAATTTACTCCGTAACAACTCTAAATCATCAGAGGATAATTTATTTAAATCAATCAAACTTTTGTTAGCGTTCCTTGATTTTGTCCCCTTTTTATCACTAACAGAGGTCTTTGTTGTCTTAGATTTATCCACATTGGTCGATTTTTTACCAGTTTTCGCGACCTCTTGACCAACTTTTGACACTGAACTTTTAATTCTGCCAGGCCCTTTACCACGGCTCTTATTCTTAACGGGGACATCGTCCTCCGAAAATCCAGAAAACTCTGGACTCTCGTCAGAAAGATGTAACACATCTTCATTCTGAACAGATAAATTCCTATTTACCGAGACATCGTCTTCGGACTGGCTCATATTGAAAAAACAACAAAGTCTGGACAACGTCCTAGACAGAGCCAAAAAAAACTGTATAAGAAATAAAAATAACAAAATAATTTCACGTCAATTCACAAACTTACCGACAAACAAAAAGCCGAAAGCTGTAAATACAAAACAAACCCTCAAAAACTGCATAAGAAAACGAAAGTAAGCGTAACACGTGTGGACTATTCAACGACGCCAGGAAAACTATGATTTCTGGGGTTGACATGGTCGCGCGCATGGTTTGGTCATGTTTTTTACGGTTCGTTGAAGCGGCGTTGTGGACTCGATGCGTTAGGATAACATGCTATTTATACATGTGAAAGCTGAGGCTTTATGAAAATACTGTGCATAATAAGTGCAATGGGTTTAATTTTTGGTCATTTTGCACAATAAAACTAAATATTCTGAAGAGGGAATAATCTGAAAATTTGCAAGTTATTGATTCAGACCTACATCAAATGGTACACAAATCTCACAAGGAATCATGTCAAAAAACCTCAGAGTTGAGTTCCTTTTTAACAGATACTAGGGTACATGAGAGAAATTGCAACTTTATGTTTTCTCTGATTAACTGGCTCAATCTGAGTCTCCGATTTTCAATTATTTTTTCTTGATTTATTGGTTTAAACATATTTATTTAAGCTCGATTGCAAAACAAGTTCTTGCAACTTATATTAATCACTTTCGAGTCCGCTTCCTGGAACCAACCAGTACTGGTGTTGTATGAAGAAACACGGTCGTGACCCGAGTAGGGCTTGAACCCATGATCTCTGGGTTGAGATCTTGATTTATTGCATTTTAGGGAACTCACCTTTCTAGTTGTTGAAATAATATATTTCATCCAATGAAATTGTTCCATTTTACAAATTCTTCGATACAATTAATTCATATATATAATCAAACTTGTTATTTTATACTATGACATTAAATCAGCATATGATACTTGCCTGGTTCAACCACTAAGTAGATTGGTGTTTGTTAAGTCAACATTAATTCCATTAATCTGTCATGCAGCTGCAACAAATTTAATTTCATTTATGCTGACTAACAAACACTTACCTTCTCTAGAAACAAACAATTTTTTACTAAACTTCATCATGCTACCATGTTACTTTTTTCTGTTTAGTGGGACATTATAGAGTCAGTACTACAGGAAATCCAAATAACTGTTTTAGTTAGATAATACAAAAAAATAAGACAATGTAAATAAGTATTATTACATTAACCTTACAGTGCTACATGATTTCAAATCTTATATATGTCACTTGGAGCAGTGTTACAATGATGTTAGGTCTAGTTATTTAGTAGTAAAATGTGGAGAGTTTGATGCTGGAGGGCGTGACATTTGTGGACCAACATAATTGTCTACAATTTGTTACTGGTCACAACATGCCTGCCTCAAGCTACAAGGTGTTTTAGTGTCAAACTATAATGTTTATCAAACATTATCATCAACATCAATTACGATATAATAAAGATCTCATAACTAGTCATACATATGTGTAAGTATTAGACTAATGAAAGTGACACATTTTCCTCACAAGGTTCATTTGAAATAAGAAGTAAAAAATCCATTATATAGTCATAAAATGGCATTACAGTATATCAAATTATGAAACACATAAATCAAGTAGCTTTGCATAAAAAATAATTTTTAGAGGAGTTAACATTTATAAATATACCGGTACCATTGTTCTAACTTAATTTTTTAGTAAAAACATTATCAAATAGATCTTTATGCTCCGCAAAGAGAGAGCATATACTTGCTGCCTAATGTCCGTCTGTCCGTCCGTTTTGTCCAAAGCATAACTTGAAAACCCTTGGACATAATTTGTTTAAACTACACACAGTGGTAGAGGGCATTGAGGCAGAGTGCAGTTCCAAAGAACCATAACTCTATTTGATGTAACTCAGAAACTATAAGAGATATTAACATTAAACCTTCAAGGTAGATAGATCTTATTGCATAGATATGCAGTGCAAAAGAACCGTAACTCTGCTTTGCCTATTTTTTGAGTTATTGCCCTTTTTCAATTTTACACTGTGAACTTTGTCTGGAACTACAAGAGTTATCAACAAGAAACTAAGTTGGTAGATAGATCTCATTAAGTAGAAGTGCAGTGCAAAGAACAGTAACTCTGTCTTGCCTAATTTTCGATTTAAAGCACTTTGAACTTTGTCTGGGACTACAAAGGTGTTCTTTTCTGTGTGCAAACCAGCTCTTGTCATCTTAAATTCGTGCCAGATATTATATTAATGTCAATTCATCTTTAATATTGACAATAGTCAAAGTTTTTTTAACTAAGTCAATGTCAATGTTGATTAATCAATAAGAGGCATTTTATTCTATAGAATAATGTCAGTCAATGTAATGCCAAGTGATTAAAGTCAATTCATTCAATGCTAAACAGTTTTTCTTTTAATACTTATCAATGTCATTTCAATTACTATCTAAGAGACTCAACATCATTTGTCACAAAGAAATTTCATCCTGCCCAAGGATCGAACCAATGGCCTCTTAATTAAAAATCTGTTGTCAAGTCAATGCTAAAAGCAATGTTAGGTTATTTAATGCCAAATAACATTATTGGTCACCTGCTGAATGAGCAAATTTGACCATATGCAAGATAAGATATGTAAGTTCATTTAGTGTTTCTTAAATCATGCTGTTTTTGTTTTTAAATACTAACAGTCTAATAGTTTGGAATTGAGAACAAAAGCCAGAGTACATGTACCTTATTTTTGTTGCATTACTGAAAACAGAAATCATTAATTTATTTTGCCCCAGCATAAGACCAGTTTATTTGCTTCTTTATAAATATTCAGTAACATAACGTTTCAGGCCAGAATGTTACACACTATGTTGATCATATTCAATTCATTTAAAAAATTTATGTAGCATAATTATGATTAACAAACTTTTTTTGTGAATACCTTTAAAGGATGAATATACAAAGATCTTTTTATGAGTTATGTAACGAATATTGAGGGCATTTTGCATAAATTATAATAATACATGTACTTGAAAAATGCCATAATTAATAATTTGAGCGTTACTAATTGAGAAAGGACATTCAAGTGTAGAATAAAATTACTGGTTTTCTTAATGATTGCAAAACTAAATTGCTGTTGATTTTAAAATTAGATTGGTCTAATTGTTTTGTTTCTTCCAAGCCTGAACAGGCCAGTTTTGGAACTGTTTGAACCAAATTTTATACTTGTTTGAATATAAAGTTCATTGTGACCACCTATCAAAAATGTTTCAAATTATACGCTTTTAAAGACTTTATAAATCAAAGTGTTGCTAATGCTAATTGAAATTGGTAATAAAATTGGTGTTTAATTGTTGAGCAAGTTTGATTTATATTGATTTTATAGGATTTTATGTGGTTTATTGGGCTTGTTTGCATGTTGGATAGAATAACACCCTATAATAGTACCTGTTGATAACAGTAAACTATTGAACAAGGAAAGTTTTTATTACAGGTGTAAATGATGTGATTGAAGTGCCAATGATTACATTGTAAATACCTTGGCTGTTCCCAGGGGTAAACAAGAACAAGACCATTGTTGATCATTTTGATATTAGTAGTAGTAGTGTATACCTTACTGACAGACAATTGATTTATAGTTATTGTTATAATTAACATCCCAAAGGAAATGTTTTAATATTATACCTCCATATATATATATACATGTATACATGTTAGAATCAGATGTTAATCTTCTACATACTGAATGTTTATCCAGGAGCAAAGTTATTTTTTAATCTCTCGTTAAATATATGTACAAACAAAATACTCTGTATATAAACTAATTATGTCCTAAAACAACGATATTCTTTACCTATGATATTAGGTTATTTTACTTGTAAATTTATAAGAACAGAACAGAGACTTGTACAAAATACAATTACAATGTACAATTGTAAATTTATAAGCAATTCGTTCATAGGTGCCAAATAAATGCAACACCACTTAAACATGTTAGCCTGACTTAAAATTTTGACATTTATTTTGATGAAGGCCATGCTTTAAGTGCTTCTACATTTTTATTTTCTTTAATGTAGACAGCCTTATCAAGTTATTCTTTTATATTGTCTTGCAAGTAAAAAAATGATAAGGCTACTATTATGCTTTAAACTTGACAAAAAATTGTGTCTGACCCTGTCTGCATTTTAAAATTTTAATCATGGATAAAATGTATATGCTTTTATGGACAAAAATAAAATAAAATGCAAAAAGAATCATCATGCAGAGATGTCAGATTTGATTGTTAACTACCTTACAGTGAAACAATTTAGATATCAAAAATAGCAGCAAATAAGCAACCTTTATAGTTATATTAATTAATGTAAAAATGTAACATATAAATTAGTATAGAAAAGATAATGCCGAAATTAGAATGTTTTAGACAGTACATTAATTAGTAAAATCAATAAATTATAAAATGTTGAATATTGTTTCATTATAGGAGAAGCCATACTACAAATTACTGAAGCTCAAAAAGAAATCCAAAGCAGACATGAAGATAGCGTATGTATTCATTCATGTATCAACTAGTAATTAGTGTCTTGAGACTGATTGATTTCATGGAATTAAGGTCTTTTTAAGAAATCACAATATCAGTTTAAAAAATCTTAAATTGTCATTGAGAAAACCTCCTCCTATATGTTGCATGATAAAAATGATGTTAAATAATCAGTCAGTCTTGTGTGTCAAGTAACAAGTTGTAGTTCTAATGATGTGATTAATTGAAATTTGAGGAGTTTGCTGATAGAGATATCCATGTGTAAACAGGAAAAACATGTTCACTTCTCTTTAATAATTTTTTTTTACATTTATTTGCAATAGCACAGACTTGATGTTTAACTTTTCAGACTAAAGCGTTATTCACAGAGCTCATTTTACCATTGGAGCAAAAGTTAGAAAAGGATTTCAAGAAAGCCCATGTAAGTGTAATCATCTGAAATCTAATGAAATGGATATATTCCAGCTTGCCTATAGTACACCTTTGTTTGTTGTATAATAATTTTAATCAGCTATTATGAAATTATTTAAGATGGTTGAATAATGTATCACGTAGAGCAGCGTTTTTAAATGAAAATATTATGGATATAATTATGAAGTGTTACCCAGCTACATATCTATGCAATATGATCACATTACTGTCCTTCCAGTTTTTATAGCTTGGCCTTTTTTGTCACAATTTTTTAATAATAATGCTTAAGGAAGTGTGTTTATTAACTTTGCATTAAATTTTAAATTGAGTATTACAGAATATTTGTATAAAGTCAAGTTGTTGATATAATTTATACCTAATAGAGAATACCAAACTTGAGGGTCCAAAGTAAGGAAGTTTTTCTTCTTCCTTGTTATATTTTCTATTGTCACATATCTTTCAAGTGATTATGCATATATTGCTTGGCTACTATCTGTTTTCTCTTTATTATTTCATGTATGGTCAACAAGGAATTTTTAAATTGTGAATGAATTAACTTTCCTTATTAAGGCAGGTTTCTTAGATACAATCAGGTTTCATAGATATAAGACAGGTTTCTTAGATACATGAAAGGTTTCTTAGATACATCATATTTATAACTGCTTGTAACTAAGAACAGGGTTAATGTGAGATATTCTTTATATTTTCTTGATAAGACTATGTCACTGTAGAAATATTGTTTCACAATTGTATATAGAACATGTAGGTCATTACTTTTATCCTTTAACATTATCCCTGGATCACAAATAGTAATGCTCAAGTTATATTACTGGTATGAGCCCAGGTCAATATCATCCAGATCAATATCCCAGATCAGAATTTGATGTGGCAAAATTAAGATGTGGTCAATATCCAGGCCAGCATTTGATGTGGCAAAAATTAGATGTGGTCAATATCTCAGGTCAGCATTTGATGTGGCAAAAATTAGATTTGGTCAATATCCCAGGCCAGCATTTGATGTGGCAAAAATAAGATGTGGTCAATATCTCAGGCCAGCATTTGATGTGGCAAAAATTAGATTTGGTCAATATCCCAGGCTAGCATTTGATGTGGCTAAAATTAGATTTGGTCAATATCTTAGGCCAGCATTTGATGTGGCAAAAATAAGATGTGGTCAATATCTCAGGCCAGCATTTGATGTGGCAAAATTTAGATGTGGTCAATATCCAGGCCAGCATTTGATGTGGCAAAAATTAGATGTGGTCAATATCTCAGGCCAGCATTTGATGTGGCAAAAATTAGATTTGGTCAATATTCCAGGCCAGCATTTGATGTGGCAAAAATAAGATGTGGTCAATATCTTAGGCCAGCATTTGATGTGGCAAAAATTAGATTTGGTCAATATCCCATGCCAGCATTTGATGTGGCTAAAATTAGATTTGGTCAATATCCCAGGCCAGCATTTGATGTGGCAAAAATAAGATGTGGTCAATATCCAAGGCCAGCATTTGATGTGGCTAAAATAAGATGTGGCCAATATCCCAGGCCAGCATTTGATGTGACTAAAATTAGATGTGTTTAGTATCCAAGGCCAGCATTTGATGTGGCTGAAATTGGATGTGGTCAATATCTTAGGCTAGCATTTGATGTGGCTTAAATTAGATGTGGTCAATATCCCAGGCCAGCATTTGATGTGACAAAAGTTAGATGTGGTCAATATCCCAGACCAGCATTTGATGTGGCGAAAGTTAGATGTGGTCAATATCCCAGGCTAGCATTTGATGTGGCTAAAATAAGATGTGGTCAATATCCCAGGCCAGCATTTGATGTGGCAAAAGTTAGATGTGGTCAATATCCCAGGCCAGCATTTGATGTGGCAAAAGTTAGATGTGGTTAATAACCAAGGCCACCATTTGATGTGGCAAAAGTTAGATGTGGTCAATAACCCAGGCCAGCATTTGATGTGGCTAAAATTAGATGTGGTCAATATCCCAGGCTAGCATTTGGTGTTACAAAAATTAGATGTGGTCAATATCCCAGGCTAGCATTTGGTGAGCCAAGAATCAGACTAGGCCAGTAACCTTCTGTAATGTCAACATTTGAATCTGCACTTAATAAGGATTGCTTCCGTAATTTAGAAAAGAAATGGCGTGAGATGAGAAATGAATGAGATTTTAAAAGTAAGCCAGTCATTAATAATATTGAAGATTAATGTATGAAGGCTGTATCATCATTGAGTAGAAGAAACAAAAAAGGGCAGCTCTAACTTATTCACTTGTCAAGTAGTAGTCAAATATTTACTAATTGATAAAATACCCTATGACTTTCACTTAGGGTATGATTTATCATAGTTTGTTGTCAGGTTGTATTCTCGGTGACCTCAATTGGTCAAAAGATAGTGCTAATATCTCCGTATTTGGCTGCTCAATAATTGATGCTTATCTGAAGAATGTAGTGCATGAAGTCATTTAAAATGCTGTTTGAATTTTTTATATAATCTAGATATACCATGTATGATGATTCTAGTATTTGTCTAGTAATATTTGGAAGTATAATACTTTGTAAGTTTCGAAATAAGCTCTCCTTTGATATACATGTAAAAATTAAGAAAGAAGCAAAATTTGATGGAAGGAAAATTCATGGAAGCAACCATTTTGGTTACAAGTCTTCTAAATATGAAATTTTTTGGAAAAAAAAACCCACAAAACAAACAACACATTTATATCCTGCTTGCCACCAGTATAGAGAACATTTTATATTGTATGACCAGGATTTATAATGATCGCTGACAAACTTTTTTTTGTCATCTTAATATCCCTACAATTGACAATGAGCAGATCCAGATATGGAAACTGCCCACAACTAGACATAAATTTAGTAATGGCTAATTAAATCATCCGAAGTAAGTTCTTCTTGAAGAGGAATATATCACTCATGTAAGATGTGTTGAATTTTCATTTTAAAATCATCAACAAAAGTCAGAAATACACCATAGTTATGGTTGACAAGAATACATGATTGAAATTTCAAAAGTTAAATTGTGTAAGTACATGTACATGACTGTATTGTATTGGCGAATAAATAAAATGAAGATAAAATCTGATAAATAACTTTTACTATGGTATTGACAATAAATTCATTATTGTTCTTAGATAAGCTAAACATTATGATAATGTATTGTTTCTTTTTGATATCTGATAAATATTTGAATGCAGTCAGTTCAAAATTTAGGCAACCAATAACCTATTTAATCTTGTTTTTCATGATATTTATTTACATAAATTATTATTTGCTGTTGGGAAAATATCAGGCTTTCTTCTGTTTGAAATTTAGTCAGGTTTAAGGTCAGTACGTCTTAACTGTTTTGGTTTTTTTTATGCCCGCATCATGATAATGGCAAGGGGGTTACTCTTGTTAGTCTGGTTGTCTGTCCGTCTGCGCTACTGAATAGGAATATTGGGCCATTTAACTTTACACAGGTCAAAAGAGAACATATAATTCATTTTGCAACAATAAAAAACAATAAAAAAAAGGGGGCAATTGCCCTTTATTTAACAAAAGAAAATGACAAGTGAAATAGCCCCTAATCCATTTTGGCGCATGTCTGTGCGTGTCTGGGTGTATGTGTTTGAAAAACTTGTCCTGCCCATAACTCTGTCATGCTTCAAGGGATTTTAAAATTACCTGGGACAAATTTTTAGCATTATGAGATGTAATATCATGTGCAAGACCTAGACCCCTTGCTCCAGGGTCAAGGTCATAAGTAGAGGTCATATATCAGCAGCTAGGGGCCTCTGTGGCCGAGTGGTTAAAGTCATTGACTTGAGATCACAGGTCCCTCACCACTGTAGGTTCGATCCTCACTCGGGTCGAAATCTTTCATGTGAGGAAGCTTACGGAAGGTCGGTGGTTCTACCCAGGTGCCCGCTCGTGCCTGAAACAATGCTCGGAGGGGCAACTGGGGTATTCCTCCACCAATAAAGCTGGAAAAAAATCGACGAAAAATCTCGGCGGGACGCTCGAAGATGACTCGACTTGAGTGTACGGTCACCCATATGGGCTTTCCGGCGGCGACCATAAATAAACGCATCACAAAAAAAAAAAAAAAGCAGCTAGAAAATCTTGTCCGACCCATAACTCTGGCATGCATCCAGGGATTTTGAAATAACTTGGCACAAATGTGAAATATGATATGACGATGTATGATTCGCAAGGTCATGCATTGATGAGGTCAAAGGTCAGCACTTAGAAAATCTTGTCTGGCCAATAACTCTGTCATGCGATAGAGGAGGGCACAATTGAGTTGCATGATATGATGTTGTGTCATGTGCAAGATCTAGGCCCCTAGCTCCAATGTTTATCTTGCAAGTATGTTTTTATACAATTTTTTTCGTATTGCATGATGCTAATAGCTTTGAACTTTGCTTTGCCTTTTGCAATTAAGAAACACAATTTATACAGGTGACTTATGATAAAGCTTTTATCTCCTAGACTACACTTTCAGCTCTGAAAGAAATGGATTTTTTTATTGACAATTTGTTTTTTATTGATATCATGTGATGATGGGTGTAAGAGAAGTAACATTATACTTCTGTATTGTGTCGCTTTAAGTTTCATAGTTGAGGTCTCAACATGAGACTATACCTACACATCACATGTTACCTTAGGTATAGTGATGTAGCTTGTATTTTAATAAGATCTCACTTTGTTACTTAATGTACGTACATATTAAGTCTGATTTCAGGTTTACAAAATGGTAATTCGTAAATTAACTAAATTTAATTAGAATCAGGTTGATAACAGATTTTCGTGATATCATATTTTTGCTTATATTCAGTCGGATGCAAGAAAGTACTCACAGGAACACAAAGTTGTATTGTCACCCTACAACAAAGCTTGTGAATCATTAAAGAAATTCAGGAAGAAAACAAAAAACAAACTGGTGTATGACAATGAGAAAGAAGCTCAGGTAACTATAGTGGTCAAATGCTTTTAACTATTATAACTGAAATATTTCAATTTACATGATGAAAAGGTATGCCAATATTTCAAAACACTGTTGATTTCTTCTGTCTTTTCTTGTCTATTCAAAGTAGACTCCATTAAGACTTTTTCATCAAGAGTTAAAGGTATCAAGCTTCTTTTGTTCAGTTTTCTCAGGATCATTACAAAACTTACAAAACTCACAGGATAAATCCTAAGCCGATTTTAAAAGAAGTGTAACTGTTTTTTAATGTTTACTAGTCATGTGCAACGATACTGAAGATGTTAAAGCAGAGGATACCATTAAAATTCAGATCAGAAGTATCAATATATTTGGAGGGTTACATTATGAGTGTATACCTTAATTAAATATAAACTCTTACATTTGAGTCAGGGACTCAAGTCTTTGGCTAAGTGGACTAGAGAAATTATGCTTATTTGTTTGTATGCTAGAAGCACAGTTCAAATCCCAAGGCAAGATGGTGGGATTGTTCTGTATGTCTTTGGTTTTTAAAAAAGGTACAAAATATTTCAGCACAATCTCCTGCCCGATGATCATGGCTGTTTCATAGTTTACTACATACATTATTATTTCCTGTTTTCAATCCTCTTGAGAGATCTCCTCAGATCTTGCCAGATTATTTTTTTTTACTTTATTGTATATTAATTTATTTTTTCAGTATATGAGGACTTTAGGGAAGTGCCAAGAAAAATTAGACAAGTACAGAATACAAGGTTTAAAACTGGTAGGTAAACTATATTATTTTTAGGTAAACATCACCCATTGCTTGAGTTTTCTAGGCAAGACATTTATGTGTTTTGCAATATTGATCCATCTGCTTCTATTTTAGGAAGTATCAGTTTCTAAGCAAACATTGAAAACCACAGCATCAATTTAAAACATCATCATGATTTGATATCTAATACATATAACTAAAGTCAGGTACTGATATTGAAATTCTTCTTCCTTGTCATTGTTTTTGCATTTTGTAATATTGATGCTGATGGAAATACTCATCTAGAAACATCTCATATACATAAAATGATGATATAAATGTAGTCCTTGTATTAAGGAAATCATGCCTTTAATGATATGATCCACATCTGTTGTGTTGTCAATAAATTGTCGCTGATTTTACCTATTTGTATGTTCAAACTGTTATCTTTCTAGCTTGAATATATCTATTTTGTATCAGGTTTTACTTAGGTTATCTCCATGGTAACATATTGTTGAAAAATAAAATATTTCTCAGATAATCACAATGTGTTTTAATAGAACTATCAATTGTCTTAATTACATCTATTTGTGTTGAACACATTTATATTTTGTTTATTTGTTTTATATATTTGACATGTCTTGTTATAAATGTAAGCTGAAACTGGAAACAAAAGTGATAAAATCATGAATGATCAGAATTAAAGAGAACATGAATATCTGCGAGATTTGTTTTGCATTTTAGACCTACTGTAAAATCATTAGTAATTGTGGGTGATTTATTTTTGTGGATTTCTTGGAACAGGTCAACCATGAAATTAAGTCCCAACAAACAAATTGTGCCCAAAATAGTATAAGGTTCGCTCAGTCAGTTAATAAAACCATTAAAGGCACCCAGTGTGATATTGTGTACATTCTTTGTAGACAAATTGTGTGCTAACCTGTGACTGTCATGAATTTTATGGAAGTTCAGTCAACAGTTAACATAAGTTTACAATTTACTGACATTGAAAGAACTTTTATTAATTTGGAACAAAATTCTTGGTATAGTAAATTGACTACTAGATTTCTGTTGGTTGAATTCTTACCTTATTTCCATTTCATGATTCTCAGATGATTTAGTACTTCTAAATAAAAACAACAGCCATGTACATAAAAATATCAGTGATTGCTTCTATCATCAGTATGCTGAAACTTAAAATACAGTGCATAACAAACACAAAAACATATTTCAAAAATGGGCAAGCACAATGTTTGAACTTTACTACATCACTCAAATATCTTGTAGCTCAAATAATTTAAGGTGGCATCTTCACAGGCATAAGGCCAACGTTTTTCACATCTTTTAATTCATTAAAAAAGTTTTAGAAACTTCATACAAATGTTCATGACTATGAGAAGCAATGTCATTGGCATGAACCAGTTCTCTAGGTCAAAGGTCAAGGTCACACTTAGAGTTCATTGAAAAACACTTGTCCTGAGTAAAACTTCTACAGGTATAGAGAGATTTCAATAGAACTTTGCACAAATGTTCACCATTATGAGTCGGAGTGTCATATGCAAAATTTAGGTCCCTGCATTCAAGGTCAAGGTAACACATAGGGGTAAAAGTTCAGATAAAAATATGAAAATGTTTATTCAGACCATTAAGTAATAATTTATTGAGGGATTGAAATACAAATGGTCATTATCATAACTACTGGTGTGAAAAATGTAATTTAGGTTAATATATACAAGCTCAAGGTCACTAAGGATGATAAAATATTGAAATTTTGTCAAGAGCATGTCTCCTCTAAGCATGGTGGGATTCTAATGAAGCTTCATAGGACTGTTCACCACTATGAGAAGCAGTGTCAAATGCATGAACCAGGTCTCTAGGTTAAAGGTTAAGGTCACACTTAGAGATTATTGAAAAATGCTTGTTCTGAGCCAAACTTCTGCATTCATCAGGGGATTCTAATGTAAATTGGCGCAAATGTTCACCATTGTGAGGCTTATTGCGCATATATTCCAGGTCCCTACTACCAAAGTCAAGGTCACATAGAGAGGTCAAAGTTTGTGAATGGGGACCATTTAGTCATCATTTATTGATGGATTGTAACACAAATGATAACTATCATGACTACAAGTGTGACACATGATATTAAGGTCAAAATCACTAGAGATGATATAATATCCAGATACTTTCCAGATATTGCCCAAAGCATATCTCCTATATGCATATCTTTAATGCCCACATCTCTGTCAAAAACTTCTGTGAGGGGCGTATATAGCGACAATGTTGCCCTTGTTTTATTTTCTAATGAATTGTTCATACTTGGACACAACAGCCCTTTAGACAAGACCTTCAAGTACAATGCAGACCAGACTAAACTTGATTCATAAATGAACTTGACCTTCAAGGTCAAATGTTTGGATTGATTTTTTACTACATGTATAATTGGCTATAACTTTGTTATTAATAAATGGATTGTCTTTATACTTAGGCACAATAATCCCTTGGACATGACTTTCAAATAGACCATATTGATTATGACCTTAACTCATAAATGACCTTGACCTTGAAGGTCAAATTATTTTAATGTCAAATTAATTATCTATAATTAGCTTTAACTTCATAAATAATGAATGTACCGGTATATGTCTTCATACTTTTGCACAACAATCCTTGGGGCAAGACATTAAAGAAGATTTAATTAAACTTTACCTTGACCTTCATTTGATCTTGACCTAGCACTGTGCAATAATTGGCCATAACTCTGTAATTTATTTATTGATTTGCTATATTCGGTAACCCACTTGCTTAACCCATATGTTGAATAATTCAGATATGACATTGGGCTTTATTTGACCTGGTGACCATCAAGGTCAAATTATTGAAATTTATTTAAATAGTCAACTGTGTTAATTATTTACTGAATTGATTCATACTTTGCCAAAAGAACACATATGAGGAAACAGACATAACACAAATCATGCATCCATCAGTTTTAAAGTAAGCAAATCATGTATAGTAGAAAGAGTACCATCACAGCAATAAAGTGATATTTAGGTATATAAGTCAATTAACACAAATTATTTGAGAACAAGAATGATTACTATACCTCAGTATAAATAATACAGTGAATAGGAAATGTTGATGTTATGTTAGGAATGGTATTGATTCAGCCTTACAAGGTTGAAGAGCGCTCTTCCCCAGGGAGGTAATTAAATTGCTGTACAACATCAGTTGCAAGGTGTGTTTTATAACAGAGCTGTTTTGTGACAATTCACTCAATCATTTGACACACTGTATTGTCAGAGAGCCTGGAAACCTAGGTAACAATGAAGGGAAAATAGTGTATTGATTATTGTGTATAATTTCATTATAGGGAAGTAGACATATATATTTTTCCTTCATTAATCCAGCTTTAAATGAAAAAATGTCCCTTTTTGGTTTTGATCAAAACAATAGGAGCTGTTTTTGTTAATGAAAACTGCAGTGTCATTTTGTAAATGATCATAAAGAACAACAAAACTGTATAATGTCATGTGTGACATTTCAATCAGTGTCTTGTTGTTTTCTCTTTATAATTGGCATTTCCAATCATAGTAGGAAAACTTAATATGGTATCAATTTTTTTATACGCAGGCATTGCTTGAAGAGCGAAGATGTCATTGTTTTGTTTTACAACGATTGTGTGCAATTTCTCAGCTGAAATTAGCCGGGCATCGGCACGGAGTAGATGTTTACTCACCACTACCAGAATGGAGACAGATGAGTTCAAATCCTCATGTTCTGCCTCCATCAGCAGACCAACTTCTCATGGAATATATGGTATATACTTCTAAATAATCTTCACATGTCATATTTAAGCCACTTTGTGGTAATAGAATTGTCACATTGAAGTTTTATGTAGAACAAAGTAAATAAAACAAAAATTATCGACAAATGCTTGCGAAATTTAACTAACAACAATTACTCTGGTAGTTCTGCATAGATCAATTAGAATTTAGTTTATTTCTGGTGTAAGGTGAAAGTTTATTTTTACAATCATTCTTGTCCATAGGAGGCTTTATTAGTTGTTAAATTATTTTATGTTTTTAGTTGCTTTATTTCATGGTAAATTTAATAAGAAATTGTTCTTTTTTTTTACAATAAATTGTAAATATGTAAAACATTAAAGATATATTATGCTCAAATTTGATCTTTGAAAATGCTGATAATTGTTACACTCTCATTTTAAATGTAAAATTATTAGATATCTTTTTGGTTCATATAGAGAAGATACATGATGTATATGTTTAAACTTTACACTCTATAGGTAAACACAGCATAAACACTGTCATTTAATTGTAAGAAAGGACCAAAATAACTTGATCAGTAATAGGGAATTGTACATTCTCTTATTTAAATTAGACATATTCAGCATGAAATTCCTAGATTTCAATAATTTTCTGCAGTAAAAGTATATAACCCAAAGGTGAGCATGGTATATATGTGATATAAGTATGTAATGAAGACATAATTAAATATCATCATTATATTTATCTATAGGACGAGCCATATGAACCAATGAATGGTGGCCCTGGTTACCATAGCAATGGATTTCTTCTTAGAGATGGTCAGGAAACGCAGTCATTGTCACTAAACAACGAGTTTAGAAGGTCAAAGAGTACACATGATTTGTACAGACAGTCAAATCATTTTGATGGAAGTAAGTTAATAGTGTGACAGTTAAACTTTAATGAAATTGAGCCGTGTCATGACAAAACCAACATAATGGGTTTGCGACCAGCATGGATCCAGACCAGCCTGCGCATTCGCACAGTCTGATCAGGATCCATGCTGTTCGCTTTTAAACCTTTTAACAAGTAGAGAAACTGATAGCGAACAGCATGGATCCTGATCAGACTGCGCGGATGCGCAGGCTGGTCTGGATCCATGCTGGTCGCAAACGCACTATGTTGGTTTTGTCGTGACACGGCTCAAATGTTGAAGAGATTGCTGTAAATCCAATTTAGTTTAATTCAAATGGTTGTTATTATATGCTTGATAAAGAAATACTTAGATGTACATTATACGAGGGTTGTTCAAAAAGTAATAGGACTAAGAGTCTTATGTCTCCATATTCCATTAGATTTTAAATACTTTCATATCCACGGCAAAAGTTAATTGTTTTCTACAATTTCAGCATGAGTTTATTGAATTATTGTGCTAAACGCGTATTCCCTGTGATATTAAATAACCATGGTAACACGCATCCGGCGCAGCGCATCAAAAATATTTTGACGCTAATTTGTACTTTCAGTTTATTCATAATATGTTGTCTTTTCCCCCTAATATTTCACCAACACATTTTATCAGATATAGGTGTCATGTTGTCCAAATTTGACGTCATTCAGACAAGAAATCGCTAAACTATAACGTTTTGAACAGCAGTGATAATCGCGTTAAATGTAGAAAAATGACGTTCGTTGAAAAACTTAAAATGTGTACGATCATTAAATTTTGCCAACAGATAGGCCCTACTCCTTTAGCTACGTATGAAAAGATTAAATTTTCACAGAACAATAATTAGGCAATTAGGACACTCGTTTTCAGCTTGGGAAAGCAGTTCAAAGACGGTGAATATGAGATCACAGACACGAAAGGGCTAGGGAGAAAGCGGAAAATTGACGGACGTAAGAGACGTTAATTAATTTTGTAATAGCGCTACAAATGTATCGGCGATATACAGTCCGCGAACTGTCCGGCATGTTTGATGTTTGCATCGGGTTTACTGTTTCAGTTCTAAGAAAATTATTGAATAGGGGAAATTTGTTTTAAACACTATTTTATTTTATTAGATATATATATATGTGTGTGTTATCATTGAATAAATTTGATAATGATACGCGGTAATTATTGGTATCAATTTTTCTCGATTTCGTTTAATAAATGATAGCCTGTGATCAGAAAAAGAGAATATTTTTCAATTAAAAAGCATTTTTAATTTACTGTACATAATCATATTGTTTTAAGAATGTAAGATGGCATGTGTAAATAAATAATATAAATCACGTTGTCATTTAAATTATATGTCCATGCCCGTTTAGCTTCCAGAATACTCAAAATCACGAGATCAAACCGAAAGTTGCCGGCCACCGGGCATGTTTCGAATAAAGAAATGAAAATGCAATTGTTTTTTTTCGCTACATCACCACAGATGAGTTCTGGTTATAGTTACATGTACATGATTCAAGCACCTAGAACATTGTGGAGAATAATTTCAGAAAGAATGACGCTGTTTACATTTTGAATTTATTTTGCGACGTCATGAACGTCATTTATTTAACAATTAGCGTGCGCCGGGTCGCGTACCCCTTGTCATTTGTAAGTTGTACAGAATTGTTGTTTTTAAACATATTGTATTGATTTTTTCACTGTATATAGAGGACAAATTCCGATATTCGATTTTTGTAAACTCGTGTACGTAGATGAAAAAATATGAACAGTAGAGCTGCAGTCCTATTACTTTTTGAACAACCCTCGTAGAATTGATTTACTTGACAAGAAATATTTATTACATCAAAAACATTTCAAGAAACACCAAGTTCAAGAACATGGTCATGTGTTTAAAACTTTAGTAAGTTTTAAAGTAACAACTAGCCATAGGATCTTGCAAACAGTATAAAATATGCAAATCATAAATAAACATATATAACATATCAAATTTGTGATTGTTATTTGAAGGTAATACACAGTTTTTACTGATATTTGTTGTATTTATATATTCAGGCCAGACATTGCCACCTAGGACAGCAGCTCCATTGCCCCCACGAAGCCAAGTACAGGCTATGTACACTTTCACTGCCAGTGTGGACAACCAGTTAAGTTTTATGGATGGAGATTTGATTACCATCATGGGAGAGAACTCTGATGGTTGGCAATATGGGCAAAACAGCAACTCGCAAAAGTAAGCATAAATGAAAGAAAGTTAACTCATTTTGTTATTTTCCTTATACTGTTTTTAAAGGGGGAACTACTACAGCAGTATTCGTGCACCAGATCTGTCAAATCTATATAATTCACTGGTAATATTAGATAGATATGATTTATCTGAGTTATTGCCCCTTGACATGATTGAGAGCATTTTTTAAGTCGGTACAAAATATAATACAGTCTGTTAGTTATGAACTTTGTATTAGCCAATAATTATGTACTTGTATAATACCAATACTAAGCTTATCAATGTTTGAATGATGATTAGAAATTACACTTCCAACAAATTTAATTGGCAATTTGAAACTAAATGCACTAATTTGCAAAAGACTAATTTCCAGCCCCATAGTGCCAAACTTTACAAAACATATTGAATACAATATCTTTAGGTAAATTGAACAAGTTGACAGTAAAATTTGATGTTTATTTTATTTTAATGAAAGAAGTCGCCCTAGAACTCATTCAGTCAGATTTCATCCTTCAACTTCGTGAGTATACATGCTGGATATTACTATACTCCTGATAGTAATATATGAATGATAAATCACAGCAAATGCACTACTTTGTCATTTTAAAATGTGAATGACAGATACTTGTACATTGTTTTGTTCTTATTTTGCATTTTTCTGCCAGGTTTTATATGTCAACAAATGATTGAAATAGTAATCTCAGCAATATACACTTCATTCCAAAAGTGATAAAATGAATTTGGTAATTAAGTGTTTAAATAAGGAATAATATTAAATTGGCTCAGGCCACTTGTTTTGCGATTTATTGGTATACCTATTTAGCTCAACAAAGAATTAGATTTGCAGGCATAGGGGCTCAAAGCATAAGATTTAGAATGTATTACCTACCCATATAAAGGTGAATTAACGGTTTTAAAATCTAAGAGACTGATACTTTTTTCTACTACAGTATATACATTGTATATAACAGTTACTGAGAACAAATATTTAAACTGTTATTCTATTTTTAATGTAGCAAACTTCTTTTAGTAATAGCACCTTGCTGATTTCTACTGCATCAGTGTAGAATAAAGCTTCACTTCTAAAGAGTTTTTTTTTCATTGCTGCACAGCTTATACAAAGTTTATTATGATGTAATGCATAGATTTAGATACATGTTACGTTCTTGTATTTTCATTTGCTTCAGTTTTTAAAACCATTGACAAATTGTCAATATTTCTAGAGCTTTATACACAGTGATGTATCAGAAAAGCATTTTGCTCTGTATTGTTAACTCATCTATATATATATATATACCAATAGGATCTGGCATGAGCTGTCATGTCATTTTTATATGCCCAAAAGAATTTCGGACATATTATGTTATACCCCCTGGCGTCCGTCCGGACGTACTTCCATCCGTTCGTTAGCAATTTGGTTTCCGGAGCATAACTTAAGTTCCATTTGGCCCACAATATTCAAACTTCATAGGATGATTGTCCATATTGGGTAGAAGACCCCTATTGATTTTGGGGTCATAAGGTCAAAGGTCAAGGTCACTATGACCTTAAAACTGAAAACAGTTTCCAGAGCATAACTTAAGTTCCATTTGGCCTACAGTGTTCAAACTTCATAGGATGATTGTCCATATTGGGTAGAAGACCCCTATTGATTTTGGGGTCACAAGGTCAAAGGTCAAGGTCACTATGACCTTAAAACTGAAAACAGTTTCCGGAGCATAACTTAAGTTCCATATGGCCTACAATATTCAAACTTCATAGGATGATTGTCCATATTGGGTAGAAGACCCCTATTGATTTTGGGGTCACAAGGTCAAAGGTCAAGGTCACTATGACCTTAAAACTGAAAACAGTTTCCGGAGCATAACTTAAGTTCCATTTGGCCTACAGTGTTCAAACTTCATAGGATGATTGTCCATATTGGGTAGAAGACCCCTATTGATTTTGGGGTCACAAGGTCAAAGGTCAAGGTCACTATTACCTTAGAACTGAAAACAGTTTCCGGAGCATAACTTAAGTTCCATTTGGCCTACAGTGTTCAAACTTCATAGGATGATTGTTCATATTAGCTAGTAGACCCCTATTTATTTTGGGGTCACAAAATCAAAAGTCAAGGCCACTACTACCTTAAAACTGAAAACAGTTTCCGGAGCATAATTTAAGTTTCATTTGGCCCACAGTGTTCAAACTTCATAGGATGATTGTCCATATTGGGTAGAAGACCCCTATTGATTTTGGGGTCACAAGGTCATAGGTCAAGGTCACTATTACTTAGAAATTGAAAACAGTTTCTTGAGCATAACTTAAGTTCCATTTAGCCCACAATATTCAAACTTAATAGGATGATTGTTCATATTGGGTAGAAGACCCCTATTGATTTTGGGGTCTCAAGGTTAAAGGTCAAGGCCACTATTAACTTAAAACTGAAAACAGTTTTCGGAACATAACTTACGTATCATTTGGCCTACTGTGTTTAAACGTCATAGTATGATTGTCCATATTGGGTAGAAGACCCCTAATGATTTTGGGGTCACAAGGTCAAAGGTCAAGGTCACTATTACCTAAGAATTGAAAACAGTTTCTGGGGCATAACTTAAGTTCCATTTGGGCCACAATATTGAAACTTCAAAGGAGGATTGTTAATTGAAGGAGGTAATACTTTATTTAATTCCCATTTTTTACAAATGCTTCATCTTTACTAAAAAAAAAAAAATCACTTTCAGGCATATAATGCTCCGCCTAGCGGTGCTCTTGTTATATTTTTCATACTTATTCATACTTATAAATCTAGTCCATAACTCTTTCCTTAACAAGTTATGAATTGACAGCAAAATGTCATATTCTTTTTGCGACACAAAATAACTGGACCTGTAGATTTGCATTGAAGTGTTTTTCTTCTAATGTGTTAATTTTTAAATCAGTTCTTTAACCACACACTGTATCATTGGTAATTTTGACATTAAAGTCACATTCGAACATTTTCAATGCAAAGAAATATTGAAATATTGTAGTGCAAACATTATCAGTGAGTTATATTAGACAAGTCATGTATTATGTATATATATAAATGCAATGGCTGTCCAGGGAAATCGAGGAATTCTGCTAAGGGAACAAATATAGAAAAATGCATATTTTTTTATCTTGTTCTGCTTTAGGTATGTGGTGTTATTATAGAGATAAATACTTAAGTCAGCATTCCATTTATGACTAAATCAGTTTACTATATGTAATCAAAAAGGTTTCAACATTAGTTATTTAAGTTTTCTGCTACTAAAAATGCCTCTGCATAATTCCACAAACATCCACAAAAGCGCTCTTATACATGAACATACAATTTTACTCAAGTATTAAACCAGACTGGGCATGCCTGGGAGCTCACTGATATAAGACTACATGACAGAGAATGTAAAATTTTATATCACATACATGATATTATTTACCAAAAAATATTGAAAAAAATCCCAAACAAAATCACCATTTCAATCATCATTTTAATCACACATTAATAGCAAACTTAATGGACCTTTCTAATAAAAATTACAGACACAGCTTTAGTATTATATTAGATATATGATTTCCTAAAAAATAATCAGAAAATACATCTTTTTACTTAGATTATGGTTTCATCAGCTTACAAATCACTGATTGAATTATAAATTTTACAAATTTTAATTAATTAATGTAAACTTCTGTTTCAGACTGGGTTGGTTTCCTCTATCCTTCACACAGCCTGTAGTTAATACTGGTCAAGATAGTCCGGAATTTAAATTGAGGTAAGATGTGTATAACAGATAAATACATTATATTGTCAGTGATACTACCATACATTCTTACAGGAACTAATTTCTGATTAGAAATATGGGTTGAAAATGTCATGGATTGGTATTTATTTGGGCATGTTAAGATACATTAAAATATATTTTCAAAATGCTAAAAGTAAATAAAAGTATGCATATTTAATGCTCAATATATGTGTGGTATTATATATTTATGTTCCTTTTAAACCATCATGCAGTTTAATAATCAATAAATTGTCATACAACTACTAGTATATGACATAGTGCCTTGAATTTTGACATTCCAGTTTTTACCAAATTGTTTATACCCAACAGGAGTTGCTTATATGTTAAGGGTAATGAGGCAACTGTAAAAAAAATATCATAGCTGTAAATATTAAAGTTGTGGCATGATATGAAGTTGTTCAGCATTTTAAACTGTTTTATCTAATCTATTCCATGAATGTTAAACTAATACATGTTGAACGTTTTCTGTAGCCCTAACCAGCGGTATAAGAGTATGGGTGATTTACTGGACAGTCGATCATTGTCGGAGTACACACACCAGTATGAACATGATGTTCCTGGAAACATTAGACGACCCAAGTCTCTGTATGAGGGACCACATCATGGTACATCAGCACCACAGGTATATTCATAATTCATATCTTCTTGCTTACTCCATCATACTACCCATCACACTGTTTGTCAATTAATATAACTGCCTTTATAATGAAATATAAATAAGCAAAAATATGCCATTGAAAATGGATTGTATCGACAATTTATTATTGATCTTTAATAAGATGAAAATTTGTATAAAAAATGTTCAGTATTTCTAATTCTCTTAAGAGACTTTGCAAGTTATACAATGAGATTCATGCAGACAGTTCCAAAATTTATAGTTGTTTGTATAAAGATAGCAGATTGACATATTAAACAATGTATATAATGTTCATAGAGAACAGAATCATTATGATATGTTGTATTATTGTCAAAGTATTGCAGCATATTTAAGCACACTGATGTACAAAACACCTTATGCTGCACAATTACATATTAGATTTAGTTTGACATTATTTTCCCACCACATAGAAACTTGAATACTTTACTCAATGCTAATGTTTACTTATAAAATTCAAATGGCAAATAAATTAATTGACTTACAGTATGGCTTAAGGAAAATGGTTTAAACCTTGTGTTTTGCTTATAAATTAATAATCAGAATGATTGCTTTTAAACATTTATTATTCTTTATTTGATTAATAGTTTTTAGACATGGTTTATTATTAAAAAAATTAATATTATTTAATTCAGGATTTAATTTATCCAAACATTTATGTTAAAAAGAATTTTTTTTATTTGTTTTTGCTCATAGCATTTACTTTCATTTAAATATCTATTTATTTATCTATTGGATATATATAACAATTTATTTTTTTTGGAATATAACATAGTTGCTGTTTGGTTTCAGGCAGGTGGACCCCTGGTCCCTGTTAACACAACTTACAACCCAGCCCCTGTCCACACACATTATCCCGCCCCCTCCCTGTCACAGCCAGACTGTGACAACATCTACCAACCAATTCCTGTTCCCATCGACAACACACAGCAGGTACCAGTCAAAGTGGATATCCCAGCATGCTTATGACGTTTCTGTCAACTTGATTGTAATTCTGTATTTATGTAATGTGTGACTTATATTGTCTTTACATTTTCAGCATATGTGTTCAGTAATTTTTTTTGATAAATTTTTTTAACACTAGCATTTTAATATTAAACTATTAAGGCACCTCATGTTGTAGTCTGGATTATTTGATATTTTCTTTAAATACCTTTCAAGTAAATTTGTAACAAAAAATGATATGAACAACAGAAGCATCATCTATTTCATTGTTCACCAAGGAATTCCCTTTCTAAAAATTTTACATTAACACAAGTATTTTTTAACAATTGAAGACTAATTTTCAATATTATGCATAAAACCAGATTCTCAAGCTATTTTAGCTTGTCTGTTTCGAAGAAAAAAGTTTGACTATGATATTATGAGTGCTGGGCCATTGTTGTCATTGTTGTGCAAAACCCTTTATGTAGCCCTTTCCTCAACAATTCTTGCAGTATGACAAGGAGCAGTATTCTGAAAGCTGTATTTATTTTAGTTGTCACATTTTTTAATTTGAAACTTTTTCAAAATTACTTATTAAGTTGATTGACAGATATCAACATGAAACTTAGAATACTTGCTTATCCTGACAAGATACAGTTTTAAGACAAGGGGCATTATTCTGAAAGCTAAATTTTTGGAGTTTTGTCCCTTTGTAAACACCGGAAGGTAACATTGGTAGTTATCCGGTATTGTGTTTGTCATTACCATCTGTCAGCTACCGCAGTGTTCACTGAATAACTTGATATCTATTGTAGTGTTATACCCATTTTCCATGTGGAAAATAGTTACATATTTGTATAAATAACATTAAAATCTCACAATCACAAAGTTATTCATCTTCATTATTGAGAAGTTAAGTGTGTAACAGACATAACACCATAAAACTTTTTATTCTATTTTTTAGTGTATTAGTGCCTTGCTCTTGTTTCTCAGATTCTCAATAGTTTTTTATGACAAAACTGTTCTTGAAATTTCTGCAATAAAGTAGGAAAAGTAAAAGAAATTGAACATTGACATGTCAGTTTTACAATTTCAATCACTAATACAGTCGACTCTCGTTATCTTGAAGTCATCGGGACCGTCCAAAAAGTATCGAGATAACGAAATTTCGAGATAAACATATTAGGGTTTGAATAAGGCAGAAACTGATTTTTACAAAAGACATGTGCATACCTTATGTCAAATAAACTATGATATCCCCAAGTCTTGTTATCATAGGCTTAGCCAATATTTAACAAAGTAACATTAGCGGATGTTTACCAGCGGAAATACGGGTGTCTGTGATAAAAACACATAGTGCGGTTTACTCAGTAATACACCAATATAGTGAAAACATTGTTTTCAGAGTGGTTGATCCGGATATCATCCAGAGTTATTTATTGGGTCTTTCTCGAGATGTTCGACCGCTGATTGATTTCGTGGTGATGTTGTGAAACAATATTGCAACGATAGCGTTTCTATACTTTCACTATTTCATTTACATTTAAAGTCATAACGAATTAATACAGTGTTCGAATATTTATAAAGAACGTAAAATTCACTCATTTTGGACATAAGTCAATCAACACGCTAAATAGATTAACTTTTATAAAAACAGCTTAACTTGTTACAAACATAATCATCATTATGACACACGCTATTGAGCAATTATCGTCTAGTTTGTGTTTTTCACACATCTGAAGGGAACAGACGAATGAAAACTGTAAGTCGAGATAAACAAAGGATAATAGTGTGAAAATAACTGATGGGGCTGAAATTTTACATAGAGATACTGAAAATATCGAAATAAAAATATCGAGATAAACAAATATTGACAAAGAAGGAAGAATATCGGGACTTTCAAAATTTCATCGAGATAACGAAATATCGAGAAAAGCGATGTCGAGATAATGATAGTTGACTGTAATGTAAATTTCGTCAGACTTTATAATTATGTTGTCAGTGTTTTGAACAGAGGTAGTGGACGTGATTTGATTACTCTTGGCATGTTTGTCTTTGTCTTTCATGTATATCTTTTAATAAAGAATGAACTGAAATTGATACCTAAAATGTTGTTTGAAAATGAATTATTAAAATTATGTGTAATTTTATCAAATTCATGTTGTTATGTGCATTATTGTTATGTTTTGTATTTGAAATTTAGATTATTTTGAATTATGTTGTTAAGTAATCTGAGACTTTTTGTAAGCTTAAATGTTTTAAAAGATTAATGTACAAAACTGACAAATTGAACTTAATTAGTACTTGTATATAAACCAGTAAAATTTATAACAATTTTAAGATATGATTATAAAGGAATTATCATACTAATCATATATTACTGTTTCTTTTGTAGCTGCACAGCCTATATACAGGGAGAGAAATGTCTCCGCACCACACTTCCTCTATCTACACCTCAAATGGGAGACCAATGCAGAACTCGCATCAGAGTGCTGCCATCAGCTACAGCCCACAGGTTTCCCCACCCCTCCCTCCACCCCCATCTCCACCAAGGCTATCAAGCCAGCACACTACCCCACACCACAACCCATACACAACATCATCACAGATGCAGTCTAGATCCAGCACCCTCCCTGCCCAAACCACAAGTTTACGAAGTATGACAGGATTACCCCCGCCTCCTGCTCCAGTATCTCCGCCCCCTGCCCCTCCTCCACCACCACCCCCTCCAGCTGTCATAACCAAACAAAGTGTACCACCGCCCCCATCAGTACCAGCACCTGGTACACCGGGGCATAAGCAATCAACATATGTTTCATCTGCGTCAATTTATTCCCAGCAGAATGCACAGCTTGCAGGTAATCCTCACATGACGGCACCATCAAGGTTTGGAAGTCCGGCAAGACAACAGCCCAGTCAACCACCCCCACCCCCACCCACCTCAAACAGGTCTGATCTACATGATGCAGAAATCGAAGAAAATGTCAAGTAAGTGTTATAGAATAAATATCCAGTAACTGTTTACAATACAGATGTACATGTGTTTACTCTGATAAAGGATTCTGTTATTCTTTATTTTGATATACATGAATATTTCAAATAAATATACTTTATTTTTATTCAGTGGCATTTTAAAACATGTATAATGAATAGTAGACATTACATATAAAATAAAAAGTTTCCTGCAATAATACTTTCAGGAAGATAAATAACTGATTTTTTACTGATTTTTATATTGATCCATTCAATGTCTGGTCTACAAACTAGATGTAGATAAATTCCTTACTGTATTTATTTTTCAGTTACCGTAGTAACCCGATGTTTGCTTCAGTTTCACTTCGGCAAACTAAAACTAATGACAGATCAGCACCAAAGCTTTAAAGATGACTACAAAAAGTGCTACACAGACTTAAGTATTGATTTAAAACTAAGAGACAGGGGGAAAGAATGAGATAGAGAAAGCTATTAATTATGGGTATTGTTTAAGTTTGATACATTTGTTGTAATTACAGTTGACCATACTTACATCTTGATGTTTGGATGTGTTTTTTCATGCAAGGTTTGAGCTATTCTTTGTCCTTCAGAATCAACTATTCTCTAATGCCAGAAAACAATATCTTTCAATTATTGTGATTACCACCACACCAGTGTATATCATAGTTTGTTGAGATGTTAACTTACTTATTCATTTGTTCATACATTGTATATATAAGCACTAATGTTATACCATATCTATAAAGCATTCCATTATTATGTTATATATAGTTCTGTTATACTTGTTATCAAGGATGAACTATCAGTTATATGCACACAAATTTGTAATATTGTTATCTCAGCACTTGTTATATAAGTGTGGATTTGTTGGTCTATTATAATTTATATAAACTTTTCTATGTAATACATTATTAGTAGTCATCAATTTAAGTGTATAAAGCTATATATATGTGCTTCAAAACTTATTATTTTAATTTTTTGAAAAAGAATAATTCCAAAATACTTGTATGAAAGAAATACAGTATGTTTGAATATCTCTTTAGAGCTGTTTATGCACATGTCTGAAATCATTGCTAATCAGTTAAAATCCTACTTACAACAGCATAATTATACAATGTATTTTGTTTTGGAACATTTTATTTTATTTACATACACTATCTATATATGTTAAATAACAGAGACATTCTATGTTACAACTCTTGGGAGAATCAACCATAACATTATCAAAACATAATTTTCCTGTTACTAGATTTTATAAAAAAAAATAAGATATAGCTTTATACCCATTAAAGCTCTGTTGAGTATCTTTAATCATATCTGATTAAATTGAACCAATGTGAAAATATTTTTTAATAATTTTAATAAATCACATAATTTGAGATAACAATTAAAAATGACCGTGTTATCCATTTTCCTGATTAATCATAACAAATGCAAAGTACTGGTAGAATAATATCATGTGTCTCTTACTTTTTATTATTTGAATAAAATGGCCCATACTTATTTTAATGTCAGTCTTGAAGTAAAGTTTGTTTAGGCTATTTCTAATTACATAATTCTAGCTAATTTGTGAAATAAAGTTTGAATATAGAACTGTTCAATGTGAGTTTGAGAGTTTCCAATAATAATATTATCAGTCTATAATACAGTTTGGTTTTTAGCTTGTAAGGCTGTGTAGATTTGTAGGCTGCTGGTCAGACTCTATACATGTAACTCTGACACTTTAAAATATGTAAATTCTTTTGACTTATCTCCCTTGGTACTGGGAGCTATGGGAGAGTGAAATACCATTTTAAGTACAATTAATGTATTAAAGGGACGCAAACAACTGTTATCAATATATATATAGAAATCACCTCCCTTGTTTAATGAATTAGGTTATAAAGTCTTATGTTAAATATTTTATAGCCCAAACATTGTAAAACATTGGGATGATTAAAGTTTGTTGCTTATTGGGTGTGTGCAGTCTTCAAATTTAGCATGGAGCATAATCATGGCCAGTACATGACACTTATTGAAGTCAGTAGGTCAAGGTCACAGTGAAACAGAGTGTAAAATCTTTATCTGCACAATTACTTGAGAAGATTGATGACACATGCCCTTTTGATTTTTATGTCATGTGGTCAAAGTTCAAGGTCAAAGTTACACTTAGTGGAAAATACTTGATTACTTGAGAAGGTATATAGCCTAGATTTCTGAAATTTGGTATGAACATTGCCCATGGCCTGATGACCCTTGTTGATTTTATGGTCAGTAGGTCAACGTCACACTGACATTTTGTGTAAAAACCTTGTCTGTTCAATACATTGAGAAGTATTGAGGTTGAAGCTTGATAGGGACATTGCCCATGGCCAGTAGATCACCACAATTTATCTTGTGGTCAGTGATTCAAAGGTCAAGGTCATAGTAAAACTTTGTGTTAAATCCTTGCCCACTCATTCAAATCCATGCAATAACTTGAGAAGAAATAAGACTAGATTTGTGACACTTGGTAGGGACATTGCCCATGGCCAGTAGATGACTCCTTCTTAATATTATTCAAAGGTCAAGGTCAAGAGACACTTAGCGTAAAATCCTTGTTTTATTAGTAAATTGTTCTGTTTGTTTTCTTTTCATGACATCTAAACATTAATAATACTTAATTATAATGAGGCTCTTGTTTACTATTATGAAGTGTTTAGCTTTAACTCTTTGTTTATTTTAAGAAAATTTTTGCTTTTAAAATACCTATGTTTGCAGTTTTATTATTATGTATATATTGAAACCATACAACTTTGTGTTCTGTGGTATACATATACTTGATATGTTTTATGTTTTGGCCTTATTTCACATGATTTATCTGAAACAATGAAACCAGGATGACAAAATATGGAAAGTTCAACTTTATTTATAGGCTTGATATCATTTTTTTTTCTTAGACTTTTAAACAGTTTGTTTTTATGGTGACTTGAGAGGTACATGATATTAATGATCAACGCAGAATGATCCAGGCATGAATATGAAGGTGAAATGAAAATTTAAGACAAAATTTAATTCTAAGTATATTTATATTGGTTTGTGTTTCTGCTTGTTAATTTGTGACATTATTAGTCTATAGTTGAGTCAACACAAACACACAATGTTTTATAATGTTTTCGCAGTGTGTTTACTTTTAATGAGTATTTTGTCAAACATCATTTGTGTTTATAGGTAAAAAAAAACAACTAAAAAACTCAACTCAAATCATCTTTCATATAAAAAACAATTATAGCATATATATAATGATAGATGGCACAAAGTTGGATAACAAGACCACCATTTTGGTTATATATATATATGTGTGTCTTTGCTGTATTATTGCAAATAGAGAGTGATAGTAATTCAAACTAAGATAGTCTGTGAGAAGACACCTGTTACTATAATTTAACCAACATGTTTCAACTTCACTTGTTTATTCAAGATCAAACTTTTCATAGAGGATATTCAAACCAAGACTGGTCAACACTTGACCACATTTGTGACCAATTAACCTAATTTATTGAAACATATTTTTATATATTTTTTGTGAATATTTGCACTTTGCTCCCATCCCCACAGGGACATAGTGAAGAGCATTTATTAAGAAAAAGTTAATTAAAGGCAATATAGGAAACTTACTGTGTTACCTATTCCTATAGATTCTTCTCATACCATAAATGATTCTTATCACATACCCGTGCCGATTTTGCGACTCGTAAGAACGGTATTGCACGGCTATATATTTTGACGTGACGTCATTTGCGTTACACAAACATAGTGTAAAGACGCGCTACAGTAAAATTTTGTAAGCGTTACACACTACAAATATAAATGGAATATGTTACTTTTTCACTTTTAACAGTTTTTCTTTTGGGTATGTGATAAATAGAATATTAAATTCGTGCAAGTTTAATACAAAAATTATTGAACTCGTCGAAGAAAAGAATATTATGCTCGCCAGAGGCTGGCATGATATAATTTAATAAATTCAGTATTAAACTTACACTCATTCAATGTCCTCTATATCCTGTGCACTGATTATTAGTAAGACTATTCTTTATTTGAAATGGTATTCCATATCCTGCAAAATATTCTTTTCAAAAATAATAACCATTGTGTTGACATTAATAAAGTGTGTGACTACATGTGACGTCTCTGGACAATGTTCCATTGTACTGGAAACATGTGGCAAATGACGTAATTTCCCATTATCAATACATCTATATTATACATCTGATGATCGTGACAAAATATGCCAATTTGAATGAATTGTAATTTAACAATGTTTCGTTTGTTTTAACTTCCAGTTCAAAAACGCATTTTTATCAATTCATAAGAGACAGGGAAAACTAAATATGTTCCTGGACATCTTATAGTTTATCGGCATGTTTTCAACATGGGAGACTGAAAATCTATTAGGGGGACCGTATTAGTTAATGTGATCTTAAGTGAATATAATTATATGCCAAATAATAAAGTTCTTATACCGTGTATATTTACAAAAATTCAACCCATTAAGCTGCCCTTGATTATCTCCATCTACTTACGTAACATTATTCATGGTGCTAAAGTTTAATTGTTATGTACAAAGTTTTACGTATGTGTGTGGATTCGGGTACTTGTTTCATTACACAAAACCGTTATAATTTCTTACATTGTATTTAAGTATATATTGTTGAAATAAAAGATTACATAGAAGACGTTTTAGTTATTGTTAATATTAGCATATTCTGTAAATCTGCTGAAATTAAATCATGAATATTTATCTACCTTCCTTAAATTTCTTAACAATTACGTGTAGATATCTAAGTTGTTTATAGTGTCACAACCAGGAAGTAAACGTTCGTCGAAAACACCCACAATAGACTTGCTGCACTACCCTAATGAACGAACGGTATTATGTAAACTGAGTGTAACATTGCAATGAAGGAAATATAAAATCAGTTTTAGCAGTGGAGTGCCCTGTATTAATTAATGAAGTCCGATTTCTATGTAACGAATTACTATATTATTTTATTTTTAATTATTACTTTAAAAAGCAGACGCACTCCTATCCGAAAAGTTTTTGGCATGTTCAAGTTCGAGTTAATCGGAATACAACAGACATTACAGAATCTACAAACAAAATGGTCATAGTGGCCCTTTATCGTACGTACTTTTTGATTATAAAGTCATAACATCTATAATGAGAAGTATGTCACTTGGTCAAAGTCACAAACTGAACTGATGCTAAAATTTTCAGCGCAATACATTTAAAATGAATGTAGATCACAGTCCAAACAATACTGGTCAATTAGACAAGATTCACAAATTTCTGACTTTGCTTTGTCAATTAGGGAAGAGGAATTTTTAAATCAGTTATTTATAATAAATCACTACAGAGCGTATAGCTAGCGTTAATCGTACTACTGGTGTAACCTTTATCCTTGTCAATTAAAAGAAACGAAATTTCTCTCGAACAGAACGACGGACAGTCACCTATCATATAAAATCCCGCATCAGCACTGTGTGCGCATGCGAGTCCGGTCAGTTTTTGTCTAATGAAAAGTGTCGTCATTCTGGCCACTACCGATAATGGATAGGGTGACTGCACTCAAGACATTAGCACTGGACTCGCTGAATTAAAATAATGAAAAACATCATGTTTATGCGTTTCTTCATCTTGAAAACGTAGTTGTTTATAACAAAGACCAAACGTAAATGTCCTTCCGACTTAAGGAAGTTTTCGGTAGTTTTCATATAGACATACAGGCAAAATTAAAACTGTTCAGTACAATTTCGGCATGTTGTTATTATATGATAACAGAAGCATTTTAAGCGAGAAAAAAACGGGGTTACCGTTCTCGTTTTTAAGTTATCTACCCCTGAACTTCTCTGAGGTCATTTCAAGGGCAGTTAATTTATACATACGTCTATGAATTCTTGTTTTTAATTCTGGATTATGTTTTTCTTTTTATTGTTGAGCACAATACATAATAATAATAATATCTGTCATATGTTGCGGTTCGGACCGGGATATCCGTCCCGAGGGGACCCGCCCATTGGGCGGTAACGAGGCTTGCCGAGTTACCGCCCATGGGCGGGTTCCCGAGGGACGGATTAATAATATCTGTCATATGTTGCGGTTCGGACCGGAATATCCGCCCCGAGGGGACCCGCCCATTGGGCGGTAACGAGGCTTGCCATTCCGGTCCGAACCGCAACATATGACAGATATTATTATTAATCTGTTTTATTTTTTCGATGAAAATAAGGTAATTAAAATTCTTTAAAAATATGACATTTTTAAAACACAATGGGCCATTTTTAAGAAAAAAATGCACAGGTTAAGAGAAGAAGTGGGGAAAAACTTATCCACTCTTAATTCGTTCTTGAAATTTAGCATATTTACTAAAACGAAGGTAAGCTTCACGAAAATAACAAAATAAGGTATTATTTCCTTTCATTTTTATCTGCCCATTTTTTTCTCGCTTAAAATATTCTAACAAAATGCAAAGTTTAAAGAAATCTAAATGTCTATATGAAAACTCCCGAAAACGTCCTTAATTTAATTCTTAAAAGTACAACTATATAACCTTCCAAAATAAAGTACATGGTGAAATGTTTAAGTGAAAATAAATATGTTTTATACATGGGGTTACGTATTACGCTATTAATTTAAATTAATTGCGCAATTTTTTCTACGCCTGTAGCAGGACTATTTCGATGAATACGAAACATGGAAATTCCCGATTTAAAGTAGCGCACTTTCGTTTTGAATGTTGGTAGGAAGAGTCGTTGGTCTAACGCTGCGCTGATGTTGCAAAATGAGGAGCTTATTGAGGCGTTTCAGTGATTAAATATATTTGGAATGCCCCAAGAAGTTTCTTATTTTGGGCATTAAATTCTAAACAGAAAATACAGGGTTAACCGTTTAGAGTGAATAAATATTTGACTTTTGTATATATGCGAGTTTGAACATGCGTGCGAGATTGACGAAACTTACAGTAAATGTTTGGAAGTGGAACAATTAAGAATGAAAATGGATTAGAACCAAAGACTACGGATATCGGTGTTATAAAGTCACAGCTAATTATAATTTAATACAAGTTACTCGAGAAGTCCATCAAGGATTTAAGTTGAAATAAGTTCGGCAACATCCCGTGATTATAGAGAATAGGATGCGGTTAAGTAGCTTACTATTTTGAAGATCATTAATATTGTACCTGTGTTTTTGCCGTTTATATTTGATAACACAAGTTCATTCAACATTATAACCAATGTCGTTTTCCAGCAGATTCTATAAACAGAACTTCTACACGAACATAAGAAGTGAAAGGTAGTAAATTGTCGATTTTGCCGGAATTACAATAAAATTTAGACTTCCATCAAATGATGACGAGTATCGGACTATTTTTTTTTTAGAAGAACCTTCTTTATTAAGTGTGATTCAAGGTATTACACGAGTATTTCAGATATCTAAACGAGGATTGGTATGGTGATCGGTCTAACAATAAGGAAAATGGAAATGAAAAAACAACAGACAGGATAAAATTTAGGAAATTTATTTTAAGTATCAAGTTCACTGTGAAACAAGGATGACCTTGGACACACAATCTAAAATCATGATTTGTTTATAAACAGAAAACAACAAACAAAATCATACATAGCTGTACATACCTAGTAATACCATTTTGTATTAAGTTTGAATCTCATCAGATAATAAACTTTTAATGAGATATGTAACAATCTTAATTTGCAATGCTTACAATAGCTAGTGGTTTATTTGTGTTATTATAAAGTAAGTGTTGCAGGTTTCAGAACTAAAAGGTGTCAATTACCAAACTATCCAAAAACAGAGTGCCGGGTCAAAGGTCATTCTTGACAGTTTCTCAATACAGAATTAAAATTTGTTATTATTTGTAGTACAACATTGTAAAAATGCAGTAATATTTACAACTGACAACATAAAATGCCTGACTATGTAAAAATGAGACCAGCACAATAGTGCGGTATTTATTTAGACACATACAGAGATAAATCACATACACACGAACGGACATTACACATTCTACTCTCTACTCAAACATCAAAAATTAAAACCCAGTGTCCGACATATTTTGGCAGAAATGCGAAAGAGAAAATAACAAGAGCTGTCCGTAAGACAGCGCGCTCGACTTTTTTAGTGCTTGCCTATAATACAAAACATTGACAGTTAAGGGCCATAATTCAAATAAAATCTTTGACAGAATTACCTTCTCCTGGACATGTTTGGGAATCATGATTGTAAACAAGTATTCCAACTTTCAAATTAATATCTCAAACAGTTCAGTCAAAAAGTGGACTGGTACTAAAAACTTAACCAAGATTCTAAGTCGATAAAAGGCCTTAATTTTTAAAACAAATCCTTGACAGAGTTACCTTCTCTTGCGTACAGATGGGGGTAATGATGTGAAATAGCATTAAAAGTTTCAAAGCAATATCTCAAAGGGTTAAGGCAATAAGTGGATTTTACCCATATTCAATGTATTTTCTAAGTCAAAAGGGGGCATAATTCTGTCAAAAACCTTGACAGAGTTATGTCCTCTTGTCTGTTGATGAAGGTCGTGATGGTAAACAAGTATGGTCAGTTTCAAAGCAATACCTCCAATGGTTTTGAAATAAAGTGAGGTGGTACAAAAAACTTAACCAAGCTCAATACACTTTCTAAGTCAAAAAAGGGCCATAATTCTGTCAAAAACCTTGACAGAGTTATGTACTCTTGTCTGTAGATGGAGGTTATGATGGTGAACAAGTATGGTAAGTTTCAAAGCCATACTTGTAATACTTCTGAAATAAAGTGGGGTGGTACGAAAAACTTAACCAAGGGTGTGACGCCGACGCCGACGCCGAGGCGAGTAGGATAGCTCCCCTTTTCATAGAAAAGTCGAGCTAAAAAAATGCCCCTAGTTTTCCACGTTTACAAATTCATTATTTTACATTTTAAAACTTCCTTCTTTTGAAAATTCGTATCAAAACTAAGTTGTCGAGTGTAAAACATCATGTGATATACTTCATAAAACACTTTACACCACTTGAAGTTATTCAAACAAAAAAATATTTCCCTATGTCCTTCAAATGGTTTTCTTCAAATAAAATTGTATTCAATATATTGAATAGTTAAAGAATTTCTTTGCTGTCATAACAAATAAAGCACGTAAGTGGTAAAACAACTGACTTGTGTTCGCTATTTTCCCCCAATAAAATATATAATAATTAAAACGCAAACAAATAATGTACATAATGACTACGGCCTTTAAGTTCATGTAGCTGCCAATAAATATTTCTAAATACAAAACCTTGTCAAGCTTTGCATATCTTTATCTTATTTTGGGGATTGTGTCAATACTTGAAACTTGAGTAACTTATCTGTTCGGTATTATGTAACTTACAAATTTAAAATCTTTATGGAAGAACTGAAGCGACAAGGCCACAGTAATCAACAAAGAAAAATGTTTTAATGTTTTTTCTTTGTCCGTGGCGTGACATTAGTAAACATAATACGAGATTTGTTACATAATTTGTGTTCACTTCCTTGCAGTTAATATTTGTATAGAAATTTTCATTCAGATTTTTTTTCCATTTGTTGTTCAGTGAGCAAGGCGTGGATTATGGACTATTATTTTGTAGGTGTGCTTGGTGTAAGATGTATTGACCCTGGGTCACTAAAGTCACCAACTCTGTTGTGTGCATCCATTGCTCTTACAGCAAAATGATATTTGTTCCCCACTTGGAATTGTGTTAAAGTACAGGCCATTGGCAGTGGAAGGGCTTTTACATCGCCAACCTACAAGAAAATGAAAAACGTACATCAATGACAATTTCTTTGCTTCATAAGATAAATTATTATTTTCTAACACCAAAATACACTGTCACATATGTAATCACTACCTTTAACAAAATAACAAGATTCAGCAGTTAATATATGCACATTTGTAGTTGGAGTCATTTCCCTCAACTTATAGATAGGCAGAATCACCTGATTATAATGGTGACACAGGTAAATTATTATGCTCACCTGCATTCAGACAGTCAACGAAAAGACATAGTTTACATATAAAAGATTCATAATTTACCTTTTTCCATAGAGATGGGACTGGAGGGGCAGAAGTTTCTTGGTAGGCAAACAACTGATAGTTAGATATCTCTGCATGAAGGTCATTCAAGGTCATGTTCCAGGATAACACTATACCTACATAAATATACATACATATTTTTATCAATATATACTAGTACTGTATAACACTTAACAAGCTGAAAATGTCAACCTAAGACGTGTGTCCTGATTAGCCTCAAAGTGTATTAATAAATTCATCAGAACAAAATTTACAGAATATACAACTAAAAAATTTGTCTAAAATCAATTCTAGAGGAAGAAATCCAACCCTGATACAATACAATCCATGGTGATTATCACAACTTTCTCTTCTAAAACTGTTCTGCTCAACCATCAATCTATATTATATATTCTTTAAATTCATTTCTGACTGCATGCAACTTTAAATAAGCATATTCTAGCATTATATCAATAGGAAGTTGTTTTTTAAGATTATTGAAAGTAAAACCAATTTACCTTGACTAACTCTGGAAATTTTGAGACAAGGTTTTGGTGGTAGTTCTTTGAGACCATTACTTTGTTGTTTAGGTGGTAGAGCAGGGAATGGTGCAGGGTGAGTAGCAGTAACTACCTGAAATAATGACTTAAAATTGTGAATACATGCTTCCCTTGAAAATTTTCTTAAACTGACAACTTTAAGTTTGTGTTAATTACATGAAGATTACAGTTCAATGTTTAATGATTTAAGCAAAAACGATAACTTCTTTAAGATCATACCATCACCAAACTAAAAATATCTCTTTAAAAAAATGAATTAAATCAAAATTGCTGACAACTGACTTTTGTTTTACAAGTCCATACATAGTTTGATTTCCTTCAAAATACTGGATAATCAAAAAAAAATCGAAACATTCAATTAGCACAGATTCATTAAAGTTTGTCACCTTTTGTGTTGTCGGAGTTGCTGATACTGCTGCTCGTGCTAGACTGGTACCGGGTGCAACAGAAGTTGGTGAAGTAAGATTAACCAACGTTGGAGACTGCTGTACTGTATTGATCAAGGGAGCTGTTTGTGGAAGGCCAGAAGCGACTGTCATCATCATACCTGGCCTGACAGCTGGTGGAGAACTGAACACAAGCTGATATGTCGGCTGATTTGGTAGTCCAGTACGTACAAACTGTGTTCCCGGTGGTGCTAGAACATGTCGTACACCTTGTTGACTGGTCATAGCACCTAAACCACCTGGTAATGTTACCAGTCTTGTTTTATTACTATCATCATCATCAGTGAGATCAATCACTTTAGCAGTGCTGCTAGGTGAAGGTATGGTCACTGTTTTGGGCACTGCCATACTTTTAGTAACCATAACACTTTTTGGCACACTATTTTGAGTTGTAATTTGGGCAACAGCTGGTTGACCATAACCCTGAAAGGTAGCTGTGGCAGATTTAGGCACATATGTTGAGGTGAAGGGTATAAATTCTAACATAGATGTGTTGACTGTAGTTGTTGCAGCGACGACTGTAGTCATTGATCCAACTGTTTTCTGTACTCTTGTTGTATCTAACAAACTCTTCACTGATGGAGTCTGATATGTTGATACGTGCTGCAAGTGTTACAACATGGAACATATATTAATGTTGCAAGCTTTATAACTAAAATGTGACCAATAGAAGATTCTATGTAAATTTAATATTGCAATATGATAAGGCAAGTTTTAAGTGAGTTAAATAATTAACTAGTTATATATAACTTAATTCTAAGTTAGATTTATAACATAAATGTTTACCACTTTAGGTCCTTGTGGAAGTTGAGAAGTTAGACTTTGTTGTGATTGTTGAATAGGAAGTCTTATAGTGCCATTTCCTGTTGCTGAAACAAGGGGTGGCTGTGTCACTGGACGTTGTGGGGTGGAAACCATCTTGTTTGTTTTAGAGCTTGCAGTCTAAAAGAAGAAAATGAAAAATGCAATAGGAAAAAAAAATTCAACCTACCAAACAAAAATAACTGTGCTATCCTACACTGATAACATAACTTGTTATAAAGTGTGACCAACTGCAGATTTATTGGCCTGCAAGAAGGGATAGTTGTCAAATACTCTAGAGCATAAACTTGACAAAGTGTCTGGATTCTGTACCAGACATAATTTATTTGCTTCATATACCTCTCTAACACAGCAGTAAAGGTCAAACTGCAATAGAAAAATTGCATTCAATCAACTTTTGAAAGAAGACCAGATCTATAACCAATGACTTCCTAAACAATCATTTATGGATCATCTAATCATTTTCATACTGAACTAACCCCAAGAGATAAACACCCTGGAACTGAGATATGAGATAAATTTCACTAAAAATGTTTTATTTCTATCACTAAGAAAGAAGAAAATGTGATAATGTAACATTAGATCTACTATTTTCAGATGTATAATTTAACATCAGGATTATAAACAAGGATGTGAGACATCTTCATGTTGAAACACATATCCCACTGACATTTTATATATCTGATTACCAACCACAATATTCAAAAATTTACTTCCCTGGTATTACCAGTACAGGTGCTCGCTTATCTTATCATATGAAATGTGCAACATTACTGAATTTAAACTTTACCCAATATTTTGACTGCATTTAAGAAACTCATCTTATGAAAATAAACATAAAGGACTTTGTTGGATCTTCCTTATCCTTAATTATTCATCAAGTTTTATAAAATAATTATTTTCAATTCAAAAATAGATCCATCTGAATACCAATAACCCATCCATGCAAAGTTAGATTATTTAAGTAAGGGATTTCACAATATTTAGTGTTTAGATGGTAGTCATTTTACAACAGATAAAATCACTGTAGTGTGCTCTATATCATAAGAAAAGCAACTATACTGATATCATGTGTAAGGTTTGTTAAATGTCTTCATATTACCCATCACCATGCTATGTACTCCATCTGGCACTGACCATTAATTATTTTAATAAGTTAATCAAAATTTATCAACTACCAATAATTTCTGGTCAGACTACACATTCAAGCTGACCTGACTGTATATTTGAGGTGTACCTGTAGCTTATTTTTTATTACCACTTCCACTCAGAGTTTAGTAAAAGTTTTTAAAGATCATATACAACAAAGTTACAATTATAAGACAGTAACATAGTTGAGTTAATGTTATGAATCAGATGAGGTATCAAGTGTTATTAATATATAAGACAAACTTCGTCTAGTTTTCACTTAACTTTATGAAACTTATAATAAGAGGAGAGATATAATTTCCGTACCTATAAAAACCTAGTAGATGGCTATCAGCACTGAGCTTGAAGGGTCACACTATTAGCTTAACCACAACAATAGGAACAATTACAATTGTCAGTGAGTGTTGACAAACTACTAATGATGCATTTCAGTAATTAAATGAAAGCATCGACAAATAAATGAAAAAAAATGATGATGATGATTGATTTTAACATAGATTATATGACCCTTAGGTAGCATTCTAAGCCAAAGCAGAAATAAAGTTGCATATGGGAACTCAGTTATAGTCTAGCAGAAGTGACTGATATTATTACCGAGTAAAACAGGTTGGCTGAGGATGATGTGGGAGGGGTACTGGATTCTCTGTTCAATTTCATGGCTAACATCTGTTTTAATACAACATTAGCTGACATTGTCTACAAATGAACATGAAACATGCAGTGTGAAAACAATCTTAACATTGTGCAAAATGTTAAAATGAAAACAATATTAATTTTGTTATAAAAAAACATGTGTTTTAATGGACTTTATTATTAGATATAAAAATTCAATTCTTATTTTTGTGTCAGAAAGATCAAAGTTTTATAATTTAACATAAATCTTCTTAATGAGTAATGAAAAAGTTGAACAAGCAAATTCATAAAATGCATCTATTGTTAATCTGAACAATGAACATTGTGAATAATGAGGAAGAAAAGCAACAACAATAACTAGATTTGTAAATACAATTGTCATGCAGTAACAGGGAACTTAAAACTTAAGTACTAAAATAACCATACCAGATCTTCCTGAAACCAGTGTATATATAAATACATATATAGATCTCAAGCATGTCTCTCTTTTAAAAACTGACAATAGTAATAGTTTTTCCTTTGTTACTATGGTTATATTCATTTTAGAGCAGTATAAATCACTGGTATAGGAAATAGGAAGATAAAGACTACTTTAATCTCTAAATGTCTATCAAAATGAAAAGAGCCTATATTCTAACACATTTTGAAATATACACAAATTTAGACTTAGTTTCTTCAGACTCAGCTCATAAAGAAAATATAAATAAGAAAAGAAAACACTTGTCATTCAATAATAAAACAAGCAATTATCATAGTATTGCAAGCAATCCATAAGTCCCCTACCGGTTAGAACCCCATCAACATTCTGAAGGGCCATTCACTAATGTTTCAATTTTTCTCTATTTTAAGTAAATTTGTTGGAAAAGTTCTTTAAAAGTGATCACAGGAAACAGTTTTTATGAACAGACAGACAGACGGACTGAAGAACACTCTAAAGTTAATATTTGAAACATTCCTGTTACCAAAATATAACATTTTAAAAGCAAAATTCTTAAACAGGAGATAACTCTTGAATTAAAGATGCAATTTCATAAAAAATTTTCAGCTCTTTTGACTAATCACAAATATTGTTATATTTGCCATGTTTTAAGCCTATTTGTTGCCAAGGCAAACTGATATTTTTTTCAAAAAAGGAAGAACAGATAAGACATGCATAATCTCAAGACTGCCATCTACCCATATGTCAAGTTTCATAAAAATATTTCCAGTACTTTTTGAGTTATCACTGGATTCAGTTTATATGTGTAAAATTTGCCCATATTTTCAGTCTATGTGTTGCCATAGCAACCAGAATTTTCAACATAGGAAGAAAAGAAAAAGATGTGCATAATCTCAAGACTGCCATCTACCCATATGTCAAGTTTCATAAAAATATTTCCAGTACTTTTTTGCTTTATCACTGGATCCAGTTTATGTGTAAAATTTGCCATATTTTCAGCCTATTTGTTGCCATAGCAACCAGAATTTTCAACATAGGAAGAAAAGAAAAAGACGTGCATAATCTCAAGACTGCCATCTACCCATATGTCAAGTTTCATAAAAATATTTCCAGTACTTTTTGCGTTATCACTGGATCCAGTTTATGTGTAAAATTTGCCATATTTTTCAGCCTATTTGTTGCCATAGCAACCAGAATTTTCAACATAGGAAGAAAAGAAAAAGACGTGCATAATCTCCATACCTGCCATCTATCCATATACCAAGTTTCATAAAAATATTTTCAGTACTTTTCAAGTTATCACGGGATCCAATTTTGTGGACGGACGGACTGACGGACTGACAGACGGACAGGCGGACGGACAGACGGACGGAGGGTAAACCTAAAGTCCCCTCCGGTAAACCGGTAGGGGACTTAAAACATTGGTCATTCCAACATAGTATAAAATCAGGAGAATCACAAAAGCAAAAAGATTATAAAAAGTTTAAGAAACTTCGCACAAGATAATGAAAGAATAGCATAGATAATTCATAGATTTTACAACATAGATTTATTCTCCCTTGTAAAACCAAATTAAAAAGAAATTGAATGAAAATGTCTTCAATAAATGCCATCATAAAATGTTATAAGCAAAGCATATAGATAGATACACTAAGATAAAAATTAACTTATGTTTAAAAAACAACAACCAAAAAACAAAGTACAATATTGTAAAAACAACACAAAAAGCTTAAAAACATCTATTAATATGATATTCTTACCCTGCCTTCATCCACTTGTACAGACACATTCCTTGTTGTAATTTGCTGAAAAAACAATACAGAGAAATACAAACTTAATTTCTATCAAAGACTTAAATACATCTATGAAATTTATAATTTTAGTAAATAATTTAGTGAAAGTTGAAAACATTTAATAAAACGTTACACTTAATATCAACATAAGACAAGATTGAGACAATTACCCTAAGAGCAGCTGTGGCAGCTTTTCTTTTCTCGAGTTTTTGTTGCAGCACTGTGACATCATTAACCTTGACCTGTAGGTCCTTCACTTGTCTCTTCCAAAGGTCATTATTCTGCTGGAGATCTTTAACTTTCTGACTAAGTTTGGCAACAAGTGTGTCTCGCTGGGATGTCAGGTACGTTTTTACCTTTTCCCTTACCAACTCTTCCAATTCCTACATTGATAATAACATGTTGATGTCAGTTTCAAATACAGTAACCACCGGCAACAGACAAGTGTACATAAATTTACATAAACAAACAGAAAGCAGCATACAATAACAAAGTAATCGGCTATCAAGACAGACATATTCACCACACATGACTGTCGCATATCAAACTTTGAAATTCTATTTTTTGGCTTGATTTCCAACTGGGGCATTTATAATATAGCTTAAGTTATTTAACATTTTAATCTAATTACAAGCTATAACTCATATTTGAATTACCTACTCCTTTAACTGGATCATACCTACATTCTACCTTAAATTATATCAACTGCAGATTTACTTTAAATGGGAAAATTGGAGACCTTTAGAAATATTTGTAACACACATTTTTGATCACCTCAAAATGCAGTTTGTCTATATTGCAAATAGAAAAGTTTTAAAATAAGACTTGTATGAATACAGGGAAGGTTTAAAGGTCAAAGTTTTCATTTACTACCCAAGCCAGAGAGAAATATCTGAAATACCTTAAACAAAACTTTTAAAGTGATACTTCAATGTAGTAGCATATGGTTGCACAACAATGAACAGTAGTGTCATCTTTTATGAATACACCCATTGATTTTATTAGTCAAGGGAAGCAGTGCTTGATGATAAAATAATTTGATTATTCAGCTCTTGCTTCCCTTTATCAAGCATAATGCTATAATTAATGTTCATTGATGCGAGTGCAACCATATGGATATGAGATCATGTCTTTGTGAAAGATTAAGAACAGAATTATAATCTCATGAAAACCTGTCAATAAGTGAAAGTTATGCTGTATTAAAAAACTTAATATATCTATAATAATAACAATGATCAATGTATTTTTTTTTAAAGTCTAAAAATGTGAACCTTTCATTAACTAGAACACTATACACTTTTTAAAATGAAAGAAACAAGAGCTTCCAGCCAGAAGTACAGCATGCTTGACCATTCTCTGTGCTGTATATTAGTAATACAAAATCCTGAATAGTGTAGAAATTAACAAAGAGAAAGATTTCATTCAAAATACATGACATAGTTTTTTATAGTGAGATTTAAAGGACAGTACTTACTTAGTCTGCCAACATGTGTAAGTAGTTTACTAAAGTATTAGCCCCACAGACACTATACTATAACAGTGTTTTATGACATTCAAGGGAGAGAACCTCAATAACCTTATAAAAAAAGCATCCTCAGTAACTGTATTACCTCCCTTTATCAAGTAAACCATAAGATGAACACGTGGTACTAGTTTGGTTTGCAGATTACAATCTTTCATCCTGTTATTATTCTAAGCTACGGTATGTCCCAAAATAGTTACAAAGCATGATGCTTATCCATAACTACATCCCTAACTTCACATTCCATATCATTATTTCTTTTTATTTTTATTTAATTTATCTTTTTTTTCATTGATAGAAATATCAGCAAACATAACAGGACAATCATTCGCAATACTTAATTCAATTAATGATATGCGAAGAGGCCGAAGTGGCTATAAATAACTCAAAAATTGAAACAGAACTTTCCTGTGTAAACTGTTATTTTTTATCTTGAATATTTTCTAATTTTTAGAGAAACCCATTACTATTAAACACAATATATTAAAAATATTTTAAAAGATATTTTCTTAGTTTTTTTACCTGTATGTTACATGAAAACAGTCAAGGAAAGACAAATTTGACACCAGGACCATGATTTATATGGCTATGTAAAATCCCAATAAAAAAACGCAACATATCATACATGTACATTTATATCTTATCTGTGACTGGGCCTTTAAATTTAAGAAGAGAATATTTTTCTCTAAAGAAGTTTATGATGCAAAAGTAATGGCAGGGGCAGCGCTCATAGCCTCATCATTTTCGATTTCAGACAGATGATTTACATAACTTTTGTTGATCTTAATCTAAACCCCTTGTAGTTTCCTAATAAAGTCTTTTCCTTACAAATTCTTTGACTGTGTAAGTATTGATAAAAACAATAGAAATGTATCATTTGGATATTCTTATAAATTATTGCTTGGAAAAAAAATGTTCATTTGTTTGTTTGTTTCATTTTACGCCTTTTCCCAACAGTATTTCAGTCATATAGGCGGGTAGTTTCCTAACCATCGTTCCTGGAGAGTTACACCAGTACTAGACAACCTTCCTCCGTGCTAAAATACCAAAGCATCTCCAGGGGATCGAACCCACGCCAGAGAAGTAACTGGATTAGAAGTCGTGGACTCTAACCCCTCAACCACGGAGGCGGTTAAAAAAAAAAGAAAAAAAAATGTTCATAAAGTACTTAGTGATTTAGTATAAACATTAATATAGTGAATTTTTTTTTCTAGAACATTTTTTGTATCTGCTATGTAAATATCATGAAACTCAAACTTGCCAACAACATTCATATGTAATTATTTAAATGGTTTGCTGTTATGTCTGATACCAAATACTAATCAAGTAATAATTTATTGTACTAGAAACCTGCCATAACACACCAATTTACTTTAATAACTCAATTTACATTGTTATTTGTAAATGGCCAAAACTGACTGCAGACTTTATGAAGTTTCACAATTATAAGCTCTACTAGAAAATGCATCATCGCATGAAGTTGGTCAAAACATTAACTTTGGGAGTAGAGATGTTGTTTAAAAATATTGTGCATAACATTTAGGCTTGAAAGTAAAACAAAAGCAAGGATAATGTAGAAATATACAGAAAAGGAAGATTTCATTAAAAATACATGACATAGTCGAGTCTTGAATAGTGAGTGACCATAAATTGTAATCACAAAGGCATGTGTGAATACCTTCAAATTATAGAGAATAATCTTGGGTTATTTAATCAAAATTCAAGCTAGGGTTAACTTGAGGACATGTTTATAGTTTCAAGTGATTCCTTCAGTACTTTTGAAGAATGATACAGCATGCAAAAGTTCACTACAGGCCATTAATCGATTAAAATCCGAGCCAGAGTTATAAGCCTTCAACAGTCACCTCTAATTATGATCCTCGAGACTGGGTTTTTTTTTTTTAAATGAAGACCTCCTTTAGTTTCACAGACTGCAGTTGCATGCAAAACTTCAACCAGAAATATTTATGATCGCAAAGATGCATGAAAAACAACAACAGTTTTACCCCTTGCAAGTTTTAGTGGTTTCGAAGCAGGTGTTATATGAAACAACTGAAGATGGCAGACAATATAGCAATCAGTACCAAATAAAGGCTTCATAAGAAATATGTGAAAAGCATCGAAATGCTTACCTTTTCTGTAACTGTGATCAATCTTTCATTTTTTTCTGGTTTACTTTCCTCTACCTGTTTTACAACTGCTGACTTGTCTTCTAGCTCTTTAGTATCTTTCATTGATTTATCCCCTTCTTCATCTGAATCATCAGACAGTTCTATGCTAGCAGGTTCCACTCTTGATCCAAGTTTACCAATCAATCCAGTCAAATCAAGTTTTGATCGTTTTGATTCATTTTCAGTATGGTCTTTATCTTCTGCAGAACGTTTTCTATCAGAAGAGTTTCTATTAGTAATAACTGAAACCTTTTCTGAACTATTATCTTCTATCATAGCAATTTCCTTTTTGGGATCTGAAGGACTGTTTTCAATTGTTAGTACATTGGTATTTCCATCATCTGCACAACAGGGTTTGTTAGCAATATCACAGTTTTGCTTTGACGGAACTTCAACTTTTGTTTCTTTTTCAAATATCACATCATCATCATCCTCCTCATCATCATTCCCTTTTTCAGCTGCAGCCACATGATCATTATCAGTGACATCTTTTCCTTCTTTTAATGTTTTTTCTTTATCACCATCTTCACTTTGTTTAACAACTGATTTAAACTGTAACTTTTGATACTCATTTCTCATGGCAGGCATTGATGCACCTTCAAATATAACATCATCATCTTCTTCCTCTAGTTCTTTTACTTTCTCTTCTCCAATCAACTGACCTGTAAAGAAGTTTTCTTGTAGTTTTGAATTAGAATTGTTTCTGTTTAAATTTTCTAAATCTTTTCTTTCATTTTCACTATACCGTACATTTTCACAATTAGATTTCTGTTCCTTACTTTTGAATTCATCTAAAATTGTTTCATCTTTATCATCAGAATCATCACACAGTTTTTCATTATCCCCATTTCCTTTTATATATGATTTAATGACAGTGTGTTGATCTATGTCAATGCTATTTGTATTATTTTCAGATTTTTCAATGTCATTAACTTCAGCCATTTCAATATCACTGCCAACTTTAGTGTCTGCATTACTACTCTGATTATCAATTACATTCTTATCAATTGCTTCAGGTTTGGAATCCCCAATCAAAATAGTGTCACTAGTTGTTAGAGGGGAATTTGTTCCAGACAAATCGTGATTTAGAAAATTCACAATATCATTTATTTTACCAGAATTTCCATTACTATTACTGTCCTCCTCAAACTGTATTTTTTCAATAGACGCATGCTTGAATCTTTGAAATTCTTTTTCAGGTTCAGATTCTACGACAGCATCGTCTTCATTATCACTTGTTATATCAATTTCAATAGCACTATTACTATCTTCAAGTTCTGTACTTGTATTTGAATTTGTCTTTTGATTGGGACAATTTTCTATATTTTTGTCTTGATTAGTAATTTTAGCTTTCTCATTATTGCACTTTTTGCTAGAAGGAAGATCTGAATCAATTTCTAAAAGATCATCTTCATTTTCACTTCCAATTTCCATAGATATTCCATCTTCACAATCTTCAAGATCACATTCATCTGTATCTTTCATAGATGCAGATTCTAATAGATCAGTTTCCTCTTCTATTGATAAGTCATCTTCTGTTAAGTGCATAATATTACATTGGTCAAAATGAGAAACTTTATATACATTTTGTTTATTACCTATGCATAATATTACATTGGTCAAAATGAAAAACTTTATATACATTTTGTTTTATTACCTAAAAACTTAAAGCATTAGTAAAGTCAATTTAAAATTTATAAATCACACAAGAAAAATCATATTTAAGGTTATGATAGTCAACTGCATTTACAAAATATAAGGGGGAAAACATATAAAACATTTATTTATGACACTATGCACATAGAATAATGAAATACTTACCATGTAACTTTCTAGGAGATGCTAGCTCATCAGTATCTCCACTTACGGATGATTCAGCTGGACTCATACTCTCCCTTGACAACTCTGAGGACTTTACCTTGGCTACTAACCCTTTCAAAGAATTTCTTACTTTATCATCTAAAAGAAATGGAGATCTTTCACCTTCAGCTGAACTTGTATGTTGCTTCACAGGAGTTTTATTTAGAGCATTTCTGTCAATAGTTTCCATTTTATCAAGACATTTGTTGTTCATTTCATTTTCTATTAATACAGTTTCATGAGAATCATTTTCACTACAGTCTTTGTTTTTGTTAATTTTAATGTCTGTTGCAGAATTTCTATCTGAATTTCTTGAACTGTCTCTATCTGTATGAACTATCATCTCTTCCACCTGGCTACTTTTACATTTATTTGGAACTTCACCTTCTTTGTTGTTAATATGAGATAATGACACATTTATAGGAGAAACCTTCCCTGATTGTTTTTCAACTTCACCCTTACTGTCTAAAGAACAGTTGCTATTTTTATTTTCATTAGAAGATCTTTGCCCTAAACAGGTCTCGTGTAATTCTTTTGAATTTGATTGTTCATCTGGGGTACAATTTTTAATGTTATGGTCTCTTAATGCCTTAGCAAAGCCAATGCAAGGTGATGTTTCAGATATACTTTTATTGTTTCTCAAATCTAAATCTTTACTATCATCTGGCATATCAAGGGAATTTTCGACTTTTTGGCTACCATTTTTCAATATGCTGCCATTTAAAAGACTATTACCATTTGTGTTTTTATCAAGAACACTTTGGCCATTTAAGTATTTGAGATCAGTAAGGATAGTTTCTTTATTGCAGTTGCTGTGGTTACTCTCATTAGAGCCAAACCCTTCATCAACATCTTCCATTTTGTTTTGATTGATGTGACAGTTATAAATATTTGCTCTCCCAAATTAGTTGTTGACTCTGAAACAAAATTATAACTATAACATCAGCTTTATGGAAGCATTTTAAATGAAGAGATATATGCATATGAGTCCTGCAAATTAATTTCAGAACTTATATTACAATAAGGTCATGGTCATTCTGTCTCTGCTATTTCAGAACCTTTTTGACCTAGTGACCTATTTTTGTACACATATTTATTCCATATCAAACCCCTCTTAAACACTAGACACCACTCTGACCAATTTCAACAACATTGTGTCAAATCAGTAATTAAGGGTGTTTTAAAGGATTTTATTTTTCAATTTGACCATGAACAATTTAAACTACTAATCGATCAAAGTGCATATCAGTGACTAAAATGTTTGGCCAATTTAAACTATACAGAGTCATTTTAAATTGTTTTTGTCAAGATTTCCGTTGTATTTTGACTTAGACGTTAGTGAGTCTAGTTGTTTTTTTTAAATAATCTAGATGTTTTAAAATTTAACCATAACTAACAAGCAATTATCATAGTATTGCAAGCAATCCATAAGTCCCCTATCGGTTAGAACCCCAGCAACATTCTGAAGGGCCATTGGCCATTCATTAAAGTTTCAGTTTTTCTCTATTTTAAGTAAATTTGTTGGAAAAAATCTTTAAAAGTGATCACAGGAAACAGTTTTTATGAGCAGACAGACAGACAGACTGAAAGTGTCTAAAGTTAATTTTTTAAACATCCCTGTTACCAAAATATATCTTTTTTAAAAGCAAATTCTTAAAGAGGAGATAACTCTTGAAATAAAGATGCAAGACGTCATACATGATGCGAGTGTAACAAAGAACAATTAGTAATGAAGCTGTTCATAATGAATGTTTATTTTGAATTTGAAGTAAAAGAAAGTTAAAAGAATCATTAAGAAAAATTTTAAGTTTAAGGAGGAGATAATTTTGGAAATATGGATGCTAGATTTATAAACCTTGTCATATTATTATGATGTGGGAGTTTAAAGTAATGAAGAAGTTGGAGTAAAATATACCAATTTCATGTAAAAAAATCTTAGTTCAAGGGGGACATAATTCTAATAATAGTCTTGCTAGAGTATTGAACCTTCTCGCAAAAGATTTGAGTGATAATAAGAAACATATATATATAAAGTTTGAAGAAGGTCCATTAAGAAATAAAGAAGTTATTAAAAAAAACAAAAAACTTTTTTTTCATGAAAATTCTAAGTTCAAGGGAGGCAGTTCTGATAATTTTTGTGCTAGAGTTGTAAACCTTGTCACATATGATGTGGTTGATGACCAGAAACTTATATTTGAAGTTTGAAATAAATACCTTAAGAAATAAAGAACTTACAGCGAAAAAGCCTAAAAACTAGAACCAGAAATCTTGACGAGGTTGCCAACATTTGTCAAGTAAGACAGCTCTCAATATACTCCCTATAGTCAAGATTAAAATGATGTGTATAATTTCCATACTACCATCTATCCATATTTTAAGTTTCATAAAAATTTTCAGCTCTTTTTGACTAATCACAAATATTGTTATATTTGCCATGTTTTAAATTGTTGCCATGGCAACCTATTTTTCAAAATAGGAAGAAAAAAAAGACATGCATAATCTCCAGACTGCCATCTACCTTTCAAAAAATATTTCCAGTACTTTTTGCATTATCACTGGATCCAGTTTATGTGTAAAATTTGCCATATTTTCAGTCTATTTGTTGCCATAGCAACCAGAATTTACAACATAGGAAGAAAAGAAAAAGATGTGCATAATCTCCATACTGCAATCTATCAAGTTTCATAAAAATATTTTTTGTACTTTTTGCATTATATTGGGATCCAGTTTTCTGGATGGACAGACTGACAGACGAACGGACAGACAGGCAGACGGAGGGTTAACCTAAAGTCCCCTCCGGTAAACCGGTAGTTTACTAATAAAGTGTAGCAATATCTAAGATGATGATCTGAATACAGGATGAAGTCTTATAAAATTTCAGATCAGACTGAAAAATTACATTGAATAAATTCATCTTCTGAATATCATTCTGTACTTGCCTAAGATGAGATCTAATTTCAATTTATTCTGAGCAATGGCTACCAGTAACGTTGTTACGTTTCCAATTTAATGCAAGATGCCATTATATTTTCATTTTCAGTCTGAAGCTATTATAGCAACTTTTCGACATGCGCAACTTTAAGGTTTGAGAAGTTGTCTCCCTTTTCACACGCGCTGATGGCCGCTCATCTTAGTTCCGTTTTGAGTGTACTACCGCCAAATATTAAATATTTATGCCCAGAATTTACTATGAAAAGCAGCAATAATTATAGGACGGTGAAGTGTATGTTCGTAGTGTTTGTGGGAAGAAAATATTTGTGGGAACAAAAGAACTTAATTATTAAAGTTGGATTATCAACCATATAAAAGTTGCATTAACTTCAATATGCCACAAATACAAAGAAAGAGCATGCTATTTAACTAATGAAAAGAATACATTTGAAATCTATGCAATATTCGAACTTAAATTACGTGTGTACGGCGCGTAAAAATTTAAAGACCCCGATACAACCTCCGAATAAATTTGTTTAAAGCTGTATAAGTATTATCAAAATATTTAAAGCGAAATATATATATCCGACGGACTATTCGTAAAAATGTACTAAATACCATCACAAATTATCCAACTCGCTCGATGCACCGTGAAAACTGGTCATACTAATAATCGTATACGCACAACAAAAACAGCTTTGGATGTCAAAATATTTCGACCACGGATTTTACATTAATGTAAATCCGTGTTTCGACTAAGTGAAAATTTGCACCCGTCTAGTATAATATGCATAATTTTAGACATTTTTACCAATTCTATTTTTTAGTAGTACATGCTATGTTTAAGGAGAAAAGAACCGTTATTATTTTAGGAAAAGAACTGTCATTCAAGATACTCATTCCTGAAGTGTCCGAAAAATGTTTCTCGGAAAAGATTCGATGTCTTGTTTTTTGTTGTTGTAAAATACCACACCAGAACACCAGTATTATACTATATAGCATCGGTTAATGCATAATTAATACTGCGTCAAAATAGCATTTAAATCAATTAATAACCAAACAAAACATCGATAAAATAATCAGTTACAGTTACTAACATTTTTAAAAATGTTCTATTTTACCGATGTCCCACAAGTTCAATTTTTATTTTTGATATTTTAATGAGATCTAAATGTTTTAAATGATTTTAAAATGCACAAGTTCGAAACTGCACAAGGTCGTTCGTAATTGGAGTTTTTATGAAACCGAGTAGGATGGTGTTTGTGAATGTCTTCAATTGTTTGCTTAGAAAACTAACAGAGATTCCATGTGTAAGATGTGTTAAATCAAATTTCCGCGACTTATAGTATGGTATTTGATTGTGACCCTGATTTTCAGATTTACAAAAAAAAACAAAAAAACGAGCGAACACTTCACCCCGATTTTGTTAAAATTCTTGATAATCGTTTTCTGTGTTATTTGTTTTATATTTTTATTATTTACCACACTTTTTATTTACCCGAGCGAAGTTTTCATATCATCTATAGACTGTCTAAATTTTGTGATTTCTTTTAATCGTTTTTCGTTTATGATATTGTATGTGCTTATATATTTTGCTACAATCAAGGGCATTACCCGTGTTTTTTTCTGTTTTGCATATTCAAAGTTATTAATTTGTAAATGTTGGTGCATGTAAATTTTAGCTGAACGGCAAATAATGGCCTCTTAACCGTCTAGATACTGATTTATAAACTTGTATTTTGCGTGGAAATCACATTTTGTTCAAAACAGGCACTCAGCTACTCTCAAAATAGCGTCAAACACGCTAGGCGATATCCACGCTAATATCGATTTAGAACACGTAAGCGCTCTACTCGACAAAGAATGTGTAGTTATCCGAGCGATAAATAGTCGAGTTTACGCATCTAGGTCACTGAATTTAGCTGAATTTAGCTGAGTTCACACTTACTGAGATATCTGATGACTTAATGAACTGTTTTAGATGCGTCAACAATGTGCAGCTGCTTTCAAAGAGGCCGAGCTAGATTCAAAGTAAAATATGTTAAATCCACTGATATATTGTAGAGTAGAGTAGAGTTAGAGGGACAAATACAAAATATCAAATCAAGTAAGATATGCTATATCTTCCTGACAGGCTCGTTACCAACTTACCAGAGTGTATTTATGAAAGCTATGGATCGGGTTAATTCATGCTTTATGACTTAACTTGTCATTCTTTCCACACAATTTTAACAAAACACAATTTTAACAAAGATCTACGAGATTCGTTTAATTTAAATTAACAAAATTAGAGTAAATTTTACATAAGAAACAGCAAGAGATTCATTTTAATTTATCAAAAGTAGAGTGACCTTATTAGACCTGTATATCTCAGTCAGTTATGTTAAGTTTTTGATTGCTTCAAACTGGAGATTTTTCAACTCAATGTTTGCAACGCGTAAATTTTCATTAATATTTGGAGATTTGAGACCAAAAACGTTCAGTGGCTTGAAGCCCTAATAAGAATATAAAAAGTAATCGTGTTGCTGACGAACATTTCGTTTATAAAATCACGTTTAATTAAAAATGTAGCAAAGATTGGCGTTATTTTTTCCCAAAATAACGCATGCGCACTATCAAGTATACCACATTGCGTTGTTGGGGGCGATCTCAAAGTTATTTGTGTCTACAATAAATCGATATTGAGAAAATGCATATAAAAATGAATTCTCCTTTCGAGTGAAAAAAGGAGGAAATAATTAAGAGCATTTAGTTATTATAAAATTATTCAAAAATCGCTCATTTTACTTATTTGTTTCAGGTTTTCATGACTTTTATACCTAATTTAAACTCCAACATAAATGCATGGACTATGATGGCAAACAAAATTTTCATCAATGTAGATCTACAGACTACTTGTTTATAATCAAATGTTTTTATTGTTGTTGTTCTCTTTGACAGGCTTTAATAAATAAAACTTCTTAGAAAAAAAAGTTCATTATTAAGTTTTGGATTTTTCACCGATTGTTCGGATACTGTGTGCCATAGTGTGCGGACAAATAAAATTTATGCGAGCCTCGTTTTGGTTATACCTCTTATCTACATGTTTCATGTGCTATAAATAGCTTTATACATTACATTCAAATATTGGCTTGCTAAACTCAGTGTCTCAGTGTTTCTGAATTGCAAAAATATAAGAAATAAACTTTTTAGAGATTGAATTTAATTATTTTGCTTTCTTAATTTTACAATAAAATTCTTCAGTAAAACTTACTCTCAAACAATTTTTGTTCATACTAGTTGGCTGTTCAGTGTTCTTTTAACTTATGATGTTATAGATATATTATAATTAAAAGTTTAAAGTGAACAATCCTCATTTGGAACATACTTTTTCCAATTGGATTTTTTTCTTTTCAATATTATTTACTTTTTAGCTATGTCTTTAACTCTTTTTTTTTAAATAAATAGATAAAATTTTCAACATTACCATGTCAAAATGGCTTAAACCCCTCTTTTGAATAACAAATATTTTAGAGAAAAAATAGTGTTAAGACCAAAACGCTTTACATTAGTTACAGCAGTATCAGTTTTAAGTTATTTTTTGTATAAATTTATTAATAACAATCAGTAACATTGAGAATTTGTCTGTAGTAACGTGTTTTACCATTACAAATAAAATGTTTTAAATAGAAAACATGCATGTTTAATAATCTTTATCCATAGCAAAGTCAATATGGTTTAATACTAAGATATTCTGAGAATGAAACAGAGAAAGTGAGATACATGTATGCCTCAAACATTAGGATCAGTTACTTACATATCATTCAATAACAAGCATACTATATTAATTATAATATTAGAGCAAGTCAAAATAATCAGAGTAAGTCCTATATATATATATTTTTTGGAGAAAATGACAAAACTGCTTCTGTTTCATTTTGAACAAGTAGAAATAATCAATATTTGAATTGAAAATGGGAAACCGAAGCATCCTTTTTTTTTCATACAATAAAGTCAATATATCAGAATATCATATTAATATTAAATGTTCAAAACAGCAAGGTGTGTTGCACACTAGAATTCAGTGGCCTGTCGTATAGTATTACTCTTTAGTCTTAACTAAAAGTGGAGTGCCTCGCAGATGTACAACACAGATGTACAGTCTTCATAAACCTGCCATCACTCACCTGTCCAATAAAGAAAGCAAAAAGAAATACAACTCTATAGTACTTGTTTAACATCTTGACAAGACAATAACTTCTTAACTGACAAGGAAATATCAACCTCAAGACATATGCTACAGGAGTGCAATATTACTGTATTAGTAAATGAAAAGTTGACTTTACTAATAACATGCGAAAATGGGATGTTTATATTAGCCTTTGTCACAACAATAAAGCCAGCCCAGCCTGCACAGTCATACAGTCTGACCACAATTGTGAACATATCCTAGAACAGTTGTAGCTCAATTTTGTATTTTGATATTGAAATCCCTGAAACTTTATTGTTAAGTTCAAAGTAATGCAAAACTATAACAGAAATTATGCAAGTTAAGGGTTAAAATTGACTGTTATAATAATAATGAATAACTATTAATGAATAATGACACTTTCCAGAGGAGATTAATCTTCTTCCAGTATAGTGAAGGGCCGCTGCTGCGACATTTTCTCACTTTGAATATGCGCTAGACACAAAAACTTCTTGAATTTCAAGTCATATCTAAATCTTTACAATATACATACATGTACATAATTTGCAGTTTGGGCGAGTTTGACATTCCGCCTGTGAAGCCAAGGAGATAAACTTTGTTGTAAGGCAATTTGAAAAATCATCAATTTTTCTGTAAACCAGCTCATTAAAAGTTTCCAGCTTCTATAGTTTCATATCAGTCATCATCTCATGGGGTGTTATAAGATGCGCACATGTAAACAAACTTTTTTTGTATAATATCAAGAATTAAAAATAATTGCTTTAATATAAAAAATATAATACAAGACCATAAACGAAAAGTAGTTGTGTTTTGTTTTTGCTATAAATTAAAAAAAAAATATAATAAAATATTTCTGAGCATAGGATCTTGAGGGGCCCCACATGGGGGTTCAAAAATTTAAAAAATGCAAAAAAATGAGTAAAATGAAGTAGTTAAACGACCATACATAGGATTTTCTCAGAAAAGACAGTGAAGATCTCTTTTGTGTGTAAGTTTCATAAAAACGGATAATTAATACATAACCCGTGCAGAACCTCGTCGGCTAAAATTAGCATAAGTGATCACATGACCATCATTCGGAGATGGAAGGGATCGTCTCAAAATAGAAATAAAAAATAATTTTGATTATTTCTGCTTCGATTATTGATTATTCCATGCCTCGGTCGGACACTTCCATCATTTAACTTTATCTACATAATGAACGTCAACGCTAACCATTTAAACTTAACGGTTTTACACTAACAACGGAAACTTCCGTAGACACTTGCCAGGGATCAGCAACACTATCAATCGGTCCTGAAAATAAACTATTTTAAGTAAAAATGAGAATAAATCTATAAGAAATGTGTTAACCTATGTTTGCAATTGAAACAAGTAAAAAAAAACTTACATAATTGTAAGCCAATGAGTTGCAAATATGATGAATATCACAAGTTTGTCCTCACGAAGTGAAATATCACAACAAACATGGCGTCAATATTGACGCATGCGCAGACGTTCGCTATAGACAATCAGTTCGGGGTGTATCCTGACGTCATTTAACTTCAACACGCGTCATTATTTTGAGTATAAGAAAATGACAAACGAAGTCATTACTCCGCTGCCCAGATATTTTCATTGGAGTTATATCTACCCGGCAACATACTTACGGAATGATTAGATCAGAGGAATTAAGGCACTTTGAAATTGCATTATTTGTCAATGAATGTTCAAATTCAAATTCTTGTCATGTAGAACTGTTGTAGAAGTGTACATCAGAGAAAAGGTAGAACATAAAACAATAAGATGTTGCTTTTCGATAAGATCATCATGTCTATAAACGTCGTCTGCTAGTCTAGCCTTGGAGCCGGGGTCATTCGCTTTGAACCTTAATGTCAATTATCGCCACGTTTTACTGTAGACACATTATTGAGGAAGGCATTCTATGATTCTGTAAAAAGACCATTTCTTTTTATTGTTAATTCAGTAAAAAAAAAAAAATCATGAAATTATGATACGAAAAGTGAGCATACTGGCCCAAACTGAAATCTTGTTTGTTGTGTAGCTCGACCGGACACAAAATACTGTGATTTCCGACAGTTGCTTTTAAATTTCGGCAATATCTTTGACAATGAATAAGTTGATATGTAGTGAAATTGTATTTTTTCATAAGTTGACTCAATCTGTGTAGTTGTTTAAAAACGATAATACTCCCAATACAAGGAGTCGTGTACATGTTTGTTTTACGCATAATTGAATTCTCTCCCTTGTTGTCTTGTTACGAATATGTATTTTCTGATTTCGTTGTCATCTTCGGTAATGTACAGAATAGAAAAAGAAAGTCAAGGGTCATATATGACATATAAATTCAGATAAGATCAAGTAAAAAAAAGTTAAAGAAATACTGCTTGCTTCATATTAGATAATACAGTAAACTACTTTTTATATACATGCGGATTTATATGTATACATGTATACAATAATATGTATACATGATCATTTTGGTGTTATACTTATTTAACTTTTTGTAACCATAACAACTGTTAGAATTACACTTGGCGGGGATTCATTTTATTTACACTGGAACATGGTGGGGCTAAGAGTGAGGTTTGGTGCACCATTTTACCGGTTTAAACTCACCAGCAGTATTTATGCTGCTGACCGTCCCTCTGTGTTCCTCAGATATATGTCTTTTTTGTTTCATACTGTTTTGGTGACACTTGTGTCCCTGGTTGTTTTCTCGTTTACGGTAAGTATCTCCGCCTTTGCCCCTACTTTTTATTTCCTTTATTTACCCCCCCCCCCACCCCTTCCCCGGGTCTCCTGCCCCCCTCCCCTGTGCCCTTTGACTTTATGGGCCTATTTTTCAATCATTTATTTGTTTTCTTTATTTCCTTATCAGTTACTAATTATTTTTTCTTATGTATGATTTTAGTGATTAACCTGCCCATGCGCTGCCTTTTGCCCTTGCCTGTTTTTGTTTGGGGTCCTCCTGGGCTCCTTGCCACTGATCGTGTGGGGGTTGTGTTCATTGAACGCCGCATTTCTTTGTAGATCTTGTTTATCATATTTTATATGTATACAATGTGCAAAATAGACATGTTTTAACAATGTACATAAATAACTGTCGAATTTTATGTAATAAAGATTTAAAGATATGAAAATAATGAATTGTACAATCCGTTTCATGAAACTTTTGATTTAAAACAAGAAACTTGTTGCAAGAGTAACTAGACTTCAGTGTTGTTATATTTTTCTGGTCCTTCGGGATCATTGATGACAGCACTATTCAGTGTTGAGAATTGATAACCGCTCAAGCCGGTGCTAGGGGGCGATAGGGATGTTTGCACTTATTCATTATCCATCATGTACAGACTCAATCAAACCGAGTCTGCAATTCTTATGTAATTTTGTTGTGATTAATGTGTTCCGAGGGATCACTTTGTTTCCAGATTTTTATACTTCACAACAGCAGGTGTCAAGTGCCGTGTGGCAGCTGTAAAAAGTTGCCCCGTACTTCACTTCAGTGTAGTTATATTTTTCTGGTCCTTCGGGATCATTGATGACTATTAAGTGTTGAGAATTGAGTACCGTTCAAGCCGGTGCTAGGGGGCGTGAGGGATGTTGCACTTATTCATTGTCCCTCATGTACAGACTCAATCAAACCGAGTCTGCAATTCTTATGTAATTTTGTTGTGATTAATGCTTCCGAGGGATCACTTTGTTTCCAGATTTTTATTTTCATGTACTTTACTGACAGGTTGTATTCAGTTTTCAAACTCGTTCAAATCCGTTTTTATTGAAATTTAACATTTAGTACTTTGGTTGGAAATTACGAAAATACAAATGCATGAATTATTTGTTTTATAGGCGTGAGGTCGTTGCAACTCACATGTGTATACATATTGTCTGTTATTTATTTATCACCAGATTTCCGCAAATCAGTTATCAGACTATTATCAACACGATTCAATGTCGATTCATCTCAAATTATAATCGAACTTTCACATATGAATCAGGGACACTTGCCCCAAGGATACTTGTCCCCCGTCTAAAACTGCATCATTGCACATTTGCCCCCCCCCCCCCCCCAGTGGAAACGTCTAAGTGGACACTTGACCCCCGCCCAGTTCAGTAAAGTCGCTAAATGTATGTTAAATGCAGTCTTAAGCTTATGTTTCAATAAAAATGCAACAATTAATGTTTTATTATTGAAATAAATACATTATAAATTAAAAGTAAGAGTGCATTTGATATACATTTAGCAAATGTCCAGAATGGGGGAAATGTCCGCCTTTTCATTTTCTTTGGGGTTGGGCAAATGTACAATGATTTATTTTTAGAGTGGGGAACAAATATCCTGGGTATACCGTCACATATTGCTTTCATATTAATTTTCTTTTATGTTACAAAGATCGTCACCAGCTTTGCACTTTTGAAAATGTTTGCCCTTCTTTCATAAAATTTCAATTAATTCACGGCATTCTGGAAAAGTTCAACGGATATTTTCTACGTAAGTTGCTTATAAACAATTAAGGACTTATTTTTAATTGTATCATTAGCTTGATTTTCCTGTGTGACGATTCGCATGCTTTCAATAGTTAACACATCATCAAGTTTAAAGTGACATCTTCTTAATTTGCCACACATTCTTTTCAAAATTCATCCATGAATGTCAGAAATGATGAAGAAGATAATTTGTCCATCCATTAATAAACGTTATGCAAAAAAAATCACGAACATATGGTTGCATTGACCTTTACACGGGAGGCCTAATTCTTGCCCGCGTTCTAATGTGCTACAAGGTAAATGCCAAGTTATTTTAAAATCAACCCATGAATGACAAAATTATTGACCAGGCACGAACATCAATCCAGGTTTTGAAAGATTCTTGTAAGTAACACGTGACCTTGACGTTTGAGCTACAAAACTAGGTCTAGCGCTCAATCAGAGACTTTTATAATAGATAGATGTCACAGAAATTTTCCAAAATTACTTTAAAATCTATCAGACGTATCGACCACGGAAGCATTGTCACGCAACAACCCGACACCACGGAGACCAGTTGCTGGTCGACGGTTTTTTAAATATTTTTATTTTAATTTATGAAGGACCTTGCCTTAGAAAACTTGGCATTTACAGATTTACCCTTTGGTACGGCAATTTGAATAGTAGGACCTTGATTGGTAAAGAAAATTACATACATGACATTTTTGACGTTCATTGTGTGTTTTGCTATGAAAGGTCTTTGACTTCCTTTGGTTGCCCATGTTTTGATATGTATCTTACGATTGGGTCATAAAAGTGAACCCACATTTCATCGCCAGTGATATTTGCGAAAAATCGATTGTTGTATTTAGGGAACTGTTTCAACAAATGTTTGGAGATTCTTACCCAAGCAAGTTTTTGCTCTTTTGTAAGGAAATGGGGTGCTAGTATCCATCCCCATTTTTAAATCACGTCCTACAGGGATACCAACGCATTTAGCTATATACCTAGTTGTAAATCTTGCAATCAAATCCTTAACTTTTTCAAACATTTTTGGCGAAGTTGCGGTTTTCAGACGACGTATACACGAGGCGCATCTTTTACTGAGTCCATATCAGTTTTAAATTTCTTACAACACAGTGTTACAGATGAAAAAGAAAGTTCATTGTTCCCATAAAACGACACATTTCATTAAATATGTCTCTCGCCTTATACCAAGAATTCAGCGAGTCTTGATATAGGACCGTATTTGGTCAGTGAAATAACCATTTTAGCTAGTAGATAGCGTTAATTGTCAGTGCTAGACTGAACCGATCTACACATGTATTTATCAATTGAGAGCTTACACAACCATCTATGCGATATGCAGTTTGTGCAAAGCATGGTTAAAAGCGAGATACTGGCTTTGTTGCATTCATATTTGAACACCCCTCGTACCATTTTGCAAATCGATCATAAAAAAGATCATATCGTTCTGTTTTGCATTGTATAAACTCTTAAATATTTTTTCTCGGTTTAAAGGAGCTCTACTGAGGTCAAAATGTATAAAATCATAAATAAATCAAGTGTAGCACTTAAAATGGAAAACCCTGCAAGGGGTAATAAATTTGCTCAGAATTAAATTGATATTCTATTTTTAGCCCGATTTGAATGAAAAGCGCTGCAACGCTTTTTCGTTTTGGGATATTTTGCACAATAAAACTGATGATTGTGGGCATGATCTGAATATTTGCAAAAAAGATTATTAGTCTAGACATACTTCATACGCTACAAAAATATTGAAAAAATTTCCAGTCAAGTCATGCAAAAAAACAAATTAAAAAAAAAGAAAAGAAACTCCGTGCCCTTTGATACTAAACAAGCTGTTGTACTTTGTGTATAAACTGCATCTACTTTCAGTCAAAATTTGTTTTAGTGACTTGGTCGAAGCCTGTTAGAAACTCGATTTTTTCATGCGAGGACGCTATCTAGCTAGCTAACGTGTGCCAGTCGGTGGTTCTGCATAGGTGTCCGCTCGTGGATGAAACAATGCATCACGAGCACCGGAGATCTTCCTTTATCAGTAAAGCTAAAACGTCACCGTATGACTTTCAGCCATGAAACAAACTCGATCCTTATATATGACTTCTGTGACAACAAAAATATATGAAAATTGCAGTCCCGGTTTGATTCTGTTCATACAGAATTAATGTATGACATATTTCTCGACTTGAGGATTATTCAATCTTTCAGAGAAAATGTGCTGGAATCAATGATCCTGAAGAACCAGAAGTCGACCGTAATCACTCGGCCACGGACGCTGTTGTGTGTCATATTGATATACGTATAAGAAATATAGATTCCTGTTGGAAATTTTAACTTCTCCGCTAAACCTTTGAACTCTTTCAGTCCAAGCACCGGTCCAAACACCAATAATGAACATCAACTGGGGATACATCAAAAAATCTTCAACCAGAAATAACTTAATACGTATAAGTTATCATAAATTAACACCGGAACTAATTAGTTCCAAGCACATATGAGCCGCGTCATGACAAAACCAACATTGTGCGTTTGCGACCAGCATGGATCCAGATCAGCCTGCGCATCCGCGCAGTCTGATCAGGTTCCATGCTGTTCGCTTACCAACTCTATTACAAGTAGAGAAACTGAAAGCGAACAGCATGGATCCTGATCAGACTGCGCGGATGCGCAGGCTGGTCTGGATCCATGCTGGTCGCAAATGCATTACGTTGGTTTTGCCTTGGCGCGGCTCATATGTTTACAGTGGACAATGTCAGATAGACGATTATAGCGAGTAACAAGGTAGAAATTGTCGGTATATGGTACATTTGCCGACTTGGCTTTCATACATCATCTTACCATTGTATCATAGTTTGGGGACCTTTCTGTTGAAAAAGTGTCAGAGTTAAATCGTATACATATACATGCACAGTGCGGTAACTGGAGTGCAGGTATCAGTTACCCGCACTCCAGATCATGCCCGTTGATTGGCTCATTTTTGCTGGGGTTTACATATTGTGACGACAGAGAAAGGAAAAGCGGCAGAAATATCATATTCAGATGCTCGATCATTGGTTACTTTTTCCCGGGGTTTAAAATTGTGACAACAGGGAACGTGTTTTTATGTTTGACTATGATACAAAAGAGAAAGAACACCAAAACACTCGGCAATCTGATTTATACTCGGGGGCTACGCCCCCTCGTACAAATCAGATAGCCTCGTGTTTCGTGCTCTTTCTATTACTTACCCGTGGTGACAGATCATTGCTGATTCTAAAATTCACCGAGACTGTACATTTGGTTGGTATATTGCAAATAAGGGTTAGAATTGACAGCTTTGGAAAAATCCGCAAGAAAAATATTGCTGTTCTATTGCTCAAAATGAAGGGATTTCGGTTTGCTCACATTCAAAGAGTTAGTAAAAATAAATTTGAAGCATGTACCTTACTACGTGTCTAACCGTACGTTCACAACGAGGACTAGTTTAACTTTCGTATCTAAACCATTTGAAACAATTCAAGTCTGCATGGTGTACATCTAGTAACGCCGAAATGTGCAAATAACGCAGGAATTGTGCAAAAGTAAAACAGAATTGTGCAATTTTGTGGCTAAAACGAGAACCTCGATAAGTAAATGGACCAATATTTTTTACTGTACACCAAATTGGAAGAAATTAGTTAGCGCATACGGTTGTTGACATTATACTTTAAACCTCATCAAAAATATTTTCATGAAAATGTTTATTTTTCAAGATCATCTGAAAATGACGACCGGACTAGCGTATTTTTAGTTTCTTTGATATCTTGAAATACAAAAACGTACATATTACTTTATGAATTTTTATATGCTGTGTACCTGAAAAATTTCCAAACTATTCGTGTCATATTACACTTAATTTAGCAGATAAAACGTAATTGATACCATTTTATGTGACGGCGAATTCGTGAATGAAGCACTGAAACAACGGCGGTTATCTCATTAAATGTAGCTAAATTTTATTCTACCAGCTTCCTTCTATTGTTATTCGACACTTGAAGATTGACAAATGCCTTAGGTATACAGAACATGAAAAAGTAATGTTTTAAATGTGTTAAATGTACATATTTAGTTGACAAAAACACAAAAGTAATCAGCAAAGCGGTAATCAGTATTGTCTTTCTCACGAAGGATCTAAAGAAGTAAACATATTCCTGAAAAAAATTGTGATGCTGGTTTAAGTATAATGTCGTAGCAGCCGTATGCGCTAATTAATTCATTTCTTTAAATTTGATTTAGAATGAAATTTGTTGGTACAAATTCGGCGTTACTTTTACGTTATTTACACATTCCTGCGTTACTTGATATGCATGGTGGTGTAAGTTATTATTTAAATATGTGAATTTGTTTGAAATTAACCGTTTTAAACTAAATAATAATTAATCGAAATTGGTAAATTCCCGGGATCCCTATATGTTTGATAAAAGCGAATACTGTATGTTGAATTTGGCTATTTAAGGGGCAACAATTCTGTAATACATAATCAAATCATCCTCGGGCAACACACAACATCCTTGAATTGAAATCGCTCACTTCAATAATTGGCCCAATTGTACATACGTGGTATTATGCACCTCAGATTATGAGTGAAAATGACTTTGGTTACATTACTAATTATGATACAAGTTTGATGTGAATTTTTATTGTTTTTAATTTTAAGGAAAGGATATGGGTCTAAAAACATCAACATTCAGTTATTAGATACGCATAGAAGTAAAATCTCCAGTTTCCATGAGACAAGTGTGACGCAACAGTTGTTATGCTTCACTTGAGACAGATGTAAACAACCCTGTTACCAGTTAACTAGTAGAACTGCTGGTTGTGGCTAGAATTTACTAGATAAATATCCGTTTTAAATTTGAAATTTTATTTCAAAAACATTAAAACCACCATATGTGTCAAGGCAGCTTTAACAAAAAGATTAACAAATGTTGATACCACTGTAAAAGGATGACATCAGTTCCATTTTGGGTTGAATATATTAAACATTGACTAGAGACTTGTATAATCTCAAGATTGACAACACTTCTGATCATGTCTGATGTCTCTACGTTGTCTCAGTCATGTTGATTTCTTTTTTTCTATCCATGGATAAATGAGATGTCCAAGAAACAGATTTTTCACAATGGTTCCCCAGGAATATCTAGATGTAATGATATTAGTCTTACTTTTCAAGAAAACAACTTCAGATAAACTGGGTCTTGTTGTCTGAAATAAAATCTTCAAACATTAAAAGGTTATATATAAAGCATCTCATAAATAATTAAAATCTATAGCAACAAAGAGCCACTTAAAGAGACAAAATGAACTACAGGGTTTCTTAGAACGACTTTGAGTGTTTCCTCATTATTATCTTGAGCATTTCTGGAAGGAACTTTTGTGTTTCTCATAGACCATGAATGTTTCATAAATTACACTTCTGTTTTCCTTTTGATAAACTTGAATGTTTCTCCAAATTGAAACACACTGTTACTGTTTTTCAAAATAAAATTGAATTTGTCTAACAATGAACTGGTGTGTTTCTCACAATGAATTTGAGAGTTTTTGAGAGGGATTTCATCACAGTGATCTTGAGTGTTTATCTCTATCAGCATATTATGAGAGTTTAATCAAGGTGCATTTTTCAAAATAATTCTGAGTGTTTCTCAGAATGACCTTGAGCATTTCTCAAGATAAACTTTACTGTTTCTCACAGTAAACACAAGTTTTTCTAAGTGATTTTCACAACACACTATGGATTCTCACAATAGTTATAAGTTCCTCATAATAAACTTGAGTGTTACTCACAACGATTCTAAGTGTTTTGAATCTCACAATAAACTCGAGTGTTTCTCAGAAATAATTAAAGTATTTCTCATTATGAACTTTAAGGCTAGTTTTCTTTGATCTTGAGTTATTCTCACATGGATTTTGAACGTTTCATGCAAAAAACATGTTTCCCACAATTAACTAGGGTATTTCTCACAATGAGATACAATGTTTCACTCAGTGAACATGCTACAGAAAAATGGTACATCAGTACAGGTTTTATAACATCAACAATAATAGAAATCTTATAATCATAACATATCATAACACTTTAAAAAAGCTGAAGAAGCAAACATCAATGAGAAACTTTATCCACATTAATTTTAAGTACTGGTATAATGATAGTATCTTTATAGTTTCACAATTGTTGTTCATTTTCCCTACCTTCATATTGAGAACAAGTGTTGAAGATGATTGCTTCTCATGAAAGGATTTAAACTGGAACATAGCACCATCTGAAATTTTAAACAAATTTAGCATTCATCATTTAGTGTTCAACATAATCTTACATTTTCTTATTTAGATTTGTTTGCTTGGTTTTACGGTGCACAAACACAAAGTAGGTCAACAGAAAAGATGATTTTGGTGAACCTTGGGTGTTAAAATTTAAAGTAACACTAGTAGGGGTCACAACCACCTTATTTGCTGGAGCTAAGAGATGCATAAACTTCAGGAATTTGAACCTATTTACTTGCCTCTTACCATCACACAGGAATGCAATTCTGATGCCTCAACCCTTAAAGGCAACCACTAAGCCACTAGAGCGTCTAATTTAGACAAACTATATTTGATTAAGGAAACAATAGAAAACCATATAATTATTACATTAAAAACATATTAGTACATTTAATGACCTAATAAAAACTCATCCATAAAACTTATTCAATTATCTTCCCTTTCCTTTAATATTCTATTACAATTACCAACACATTTATTTACATAGATTACCCTTCTTTATTAGCATTACAAACAAGCCGAGTGTCATTATATAATACCTTTATATCTTAACAATTCTAAGAAATTTAGAACTCCGTCAAAGAAGATACATGAAGAGATATTTTACTTTTTGGGAGAAATGCCAATATGATTGGGAGGAAACTATATATCATATAAGCATGAGAAAAAATGATCAATCAGAAAATCTTTTTATCATAATATATAACTGGTTTATTTTGAATAAATACTTTAGTTCTTTTAATGACTTACTTGAAAGTATAGGTGATTTTGTAAACCAGAGAAGTAAATACCACCATTGTAAACAGTTAATCAGTTGTCTCAGTCTGGATAAAACACCTTGTACTGTCAACACAACTACCCGCAACTGTAAAACAAAATAATTAATAAAACATTACTTCCTGCAACTGCAACACAAAACTAATCAGTATCACAAACTAACCATAACTGTAACACAAAATAACTCCTCATTATACAAAAAACAGAACTAAACAAATTACATAATAACTAACCTGATGAAGGGTATATCTTACCCGAAACCGGTAGTGATATTAAATATATAAACCGACCTGGTGTTTTTGATGTGTTGTTCCCCCCTCCCAATCTTTTAATCTATAGTTTAAATTACATATTAATAGCTCAACAGTACTTACCAGAGTGAAGACAACATAGTAAAGTCCTGTAGTAGGTAGGAGAAATAGAAGCACTGTAAACAATAATGTCCCAACAAACAACTGATCAGCATCATATACTGCTGAGTCCACTCTCTGTGTTACAACATTCCATTTCTTCCCCCGAAACAGTCGCCATAGTGATGCAATAGCATACATTTGTAACCTGTATAATCTGAAACATAATAATTGAGCCGCGTCACTACAAACCAACATAATGCGTTTGCGACCAGCATGGATCCAGACCAGCGTGCCCATCTGCGCAGTCTGATCAGGATCCATGCTGTTTGCTTACCAACCCTATTACAAGTAGCAAAACTGATAGCTAACAGCATGGATCCTGATCAGACTGCGTGGATGCGCAGGCTGGTCTGGATCCATGCTGGTTGCAAACGCATTACGTTGGTTTTGTCATGGCACGGCTCATATACCAATTAGAATTAAGTTGTTTTATATTTATAAATAACATTATTTACAACTGAAGACAAATGATTAATCTACAATAATGTAAAAGTATATAAAAGTATATACCCCTTATTCTTTACTTAAAAAGTTGTGTTTGACTGAGAAAATGATTATACATTCTTGTCATACACAATAACAACTGTCATGAAAAATTACTTATAATAAACCCCAATAAAACTTGAAACAAGGAACATCGCAATGCGATGCAACCAGGTTTTCAGCAAAATATTTCACAGAAGCTTTGTCATGAAGGGGCATTTGTTTTTAATTGAACTTTTAGGAGGAATTATGGCTTTTTTAATATTCCTCAAACAAAAAAGATTGAGAAATTTTATGTTGTCTATTCGCCTTTTTTTCCCAAATGTTTTAGAAAGGTAAACAGTACTTTATTTTTGCTTAATTTTTACATTTTTGCGTCTCTTGTCATTTTCTTTTGTCAACAATATTGGCGTGTGGTGTTTTGTGCGATATCAAGAAAAGTATGTTCACAATTTTAAAAAAATACTTGAATGATGTCTTGGAAGAAACATGGGAATTTAGTGAGCGCCAGGGCACTTGATGACAAAGCTTCTGTGAAAGTTTGGTCAAAATCCATTGAGAAATGTAGGAGAAGTTGCGCACTGTAGAAATTGTTCACTATATATTCTGTATAAGGAAAAAATATACAAAGGGCCATAATTGGGTCAAATATTATCCAATCACAAAACCCCGACAATATGTGCCAGGCACTTGAAAACAAAGCTTCTAAGAAAGTTTGGTCAAAATCCGTTGAGAAATGTAGGAGGAGTTGAGCACAGAAGAAATTGTTCTCTATATATTCTGTATAAGGAAAAAATATACAAAGGGCCATAATTCGGTCAAATATTATCCAATCACAAAACCCCGACAATATGTGCCAGGCACTTGATAACAAAGCTTCTAAGAAAGTTTGGTCAAAATCTGTTGAGAAATGTAGGAGGAGTTGCGCACAGAAGAAATTGTTCACTATATATTCTATATAAGGAAAATAAACAAAGGGCCATAATTAGGTCAAATATATACCAATCGCAAAACCCTGGCAATATGTGTCAGGGCACTTGATGACAAAGCTTCTGAGAAAGTTTGGTCAAAATCCGTTGAGAAATGTAGGAGGAGTTGCGCACAGAAGAAATTGTTCACTATATATTTTATATAAGGAAAAAAAACAAAGGGCCATAATTAGGTCAAATATTATCTAATCGCAAAACCCCGACAATATGCGCCAGGGCACTTGATGACAAAGCTTCTGTGAAAGTTTGGTCAAAATCCATTGAGAAATGTAGGAGGAGTTGCGCACAGAAGAAATTGTTCACTATATATTCTATATAAGGAAAAAAAAACAAAGGGCCATAATTAGGTCAAATATATACCAATCGCAAAACCCTGGCAATATGGGTCAGGGCACTTGATGACAAAGCTTCTGAGAAAGTTTGGTCAAAATCCGTTGAGAAATGTAGGAGGAGTTGCGCACAGAAGAAATTGTTCACTATATATTTTATATAAGGAAAAAAAACAAAGGGCCATAATTAGGTAAAATATTATCTAATCGCAAAACCCCGACAATATGCGCCAGGGCACTTGATGACAAAGCTTCTGTGAAAGTTTGGTCAAAATCCGTTGAGAAATGTAGGAGGAGTTGCGCACAGAAGAAATTGTTTACGCCCGCCCGTCCGCCCATCCCGCCCGCCCGCCGACATACCTCAATCTAATAACCAGTTTTTTCCTTCGGAAAACCTGGTTAAAAATTATTTTAACAGCCTATACTCGTTTTGACTATAACCGTTTCCATACATTTTCTTGTGTTATATAAAATGAGAAATTTGTTTCTTTAATCATACCTAGCAGCATAAACATAGAAGCAGTAAATATGTATGGTCATTGTAGATAGAATGTCCTGAAATAAGGCAAGTTGTACAGATAGTCCCCACACACCAGCTATAGAGCTATAGTAAACCAACTGTCCTAGTACTGGCTTCAATATATACAGGTATCCTGAAATTGTGAACAATTAAAATGACTGAACATTTAAAAGTTTCTAAACAAAGAGAACTGATTTCTTGAAATGATTCTAATTTAAGTGTTATAGCTTTTGGTAAACAGTGACTCATGGTATCTATAAGAAATGTCCCACACAGTCATCAATGTTATAGATAACAGCAAGGCTGGCAAAATCTGATTTTAACTTACTTGTCTGTTTTATCTGATTTATATCTTTACTTGTCTGTAAGGTATTTATAATTCTGGTAAAATTTCACTTGTCCGTACTGGCTTAGGCTATGGCACAACTTGGACAATACAGATATTTGATTTTGCCGCCCCTGTAACATATATCATGATGATGCTAATGTTGAAAAGTCTATTAAAACTCAATGCAATGTCATAATATATCGCAAATGTAGAACTTTATACCACAATAAAATACATGACTTCCTTTAGGTACTGCTTCAATTTTAGTGTTTTTAGAGAAATAAACAAGTTTTTTTTTCTTCTTCTTTATCTGAATGTCACCAGACAAGAATGTCATCTACAGGTCATGACCATCCCTGCTAAGTATGAAGACAACACTCAAGGGTAATGAGTTAACATCAATGTGACTTACAAGTTGATAGAGTGACGGACAGAATGAGGGACAAGCAGCATACCATATAGCCTGTGTAGAGATTTGTGTGTATAGTATTAAGCCATATAGGTATACTGTATTCCTAGAAATGTTCCCGCTTACAATATTTTGCAGTTTTTCACAACGTCGGCATGTTCGCGGAGACAAACTTTCGCAGATTTGTAGTAACCGCGAATTGTGCGAATATTAAATCGCTACGGCCTTAATTACAGTTTTTGAGGGCTACGTTTTTCATGCATGTCCTTGCCTGTTAGGTTCTTTTAAATCTTTTATTTTTTTGACAAGTCGTGCCTAAAGGAATGTATATCAAAATCCCCTTGATCATAATCCCCTTGGTTGAAAAATGACATAGTGATCGAAATCCCCTCAACAGAAATGACCGGGTGTTCATAATCCCCTTGATGGATAGTCAAAATCCCCTTGGCAAAAATGATGGGGTGGTCAAAATCCCCTCAACTTGTGAAAAACAACCCCCTTTACTCAATATTCTTTTTCCTTTGATCTTTTGTCACTCCAGCTAAACTATTGTGTTACATAAAGAAATGTTGCAAACAGCAGTTACATTGAGTAGAGGAAAGAGTATGGAGTATACTTTAGCAATATAATACAGGTTATTTTTAAATACTCCAATGTTGTCATTTTCATGTTAATATAAAATATAAAACCAGACATAATATTTCACTCTTATTTATTTTCTGACAGCACATTTTACATATGTTAGCACATTCACAGAATTTACATAGCACCAACATTATTTTATTCTGATAATCTGTCCCAGAGCACCCAAGAAGTCTTCAAGGGATTTAATGCCACTTGCGTACTGTGAGCACAAAACTTTCAGTCTCTGCTGGTGAGCTTTAGTGGCCTTCTTCACTCGTTTCTGTAGAAGTTCACCACGATTACATCTCAGAATTTCAGCTGCCACCATTTTTGCATCCTTTTCAACACATTGCACAACTGTCCAAAGTGAAGGATTTGAATGTCCAACAAGGTGCTTAAACCCATTGTTCCAAGATTCACACTGGTTATTTGTTCTATCCTGGTCAGTCATTGTGGCACTGTGCACATTCCAAATTGGTGGAGGAAATCTTGGAGAGGAGCGTCGGAACCTCATATTTCCATTAGCAGTGATGACTGCGCGAAAGGATCCATTTACATAGTTAGAGTCAAAATACTCAACCAGACACTGTAGATGATCTGGGGCCTGTTCACGTAGTAACGTCAAGCCTTCTTGCACATCGCTGCATGGAAGAAACGCCAGACCGTCAAGCTTTCTGCAGAAGGATTTCACATCATCATCATTGTTGTAGTCAGACTGAAGACCCTCTGCTTGCACTCTTCTCCAAGTAGCTTGGGTTAGATGGTAAAAACATCCCTAGATGGTGTAAAAAAAAAAGGTTTTAATATGCTGTTTAAATAGTCTTTTACATATTATAATACAATTAAACAAGAATATGAATGATATATATATACATACAAAGCCTGATCATGTGTTGTATTGAATGATTCATTTTCAGCAACTTTTATCCTGATTCAACGTCAGACATGTTAAAGGCTTGTATAATTATTAACAGAAATTTGGTTTCATTTATTTTTTTTATTTAATGAAATAAATGGTTTCATTTATTTTTTTTTATTTTTTTTCATTTAGCAATGAAATAAATGGTTTCATTTAATTTTTTTTATTTTATTTCATTTAACATTGAAATAAATTATTTCAAATGATCTTATTTTTTATTACCTGGATATGAATGTTGCTGGCCAATACAGTTCTCACAGCATTGTGTATAGCTATCTCATAGTCTGCCATAATTTGCTCTGGGTTAGGTCGGATACCTCGCTGCAGACAGGCATCTAGTAGGGCAGTCAGCATTTCTTCATACACCAGCTGTTGCTTTGACGGAAGGAGTGCGTAGACAACTGAGACACAGGATTCACCTAAAGGTACACGGATGACAAAAAGTTGTTGGAACTGAGAGGGTGCTGTAGAGTGGGTGCCATCCATAAACCATCTGGATGCACTATCTAGGAGGCGAAGACCGTCATTAGTGGCGAAGATGAGGATACGGTTGTCTGGAGACTCGTTGTCGTAGATGACATTACTTGCAAACTCAATAGGGAAAGGAACAGGAACATCTCTGATTGTTGATGGGTTCTTAGGTGCTGTTCCTCTCTTGGCGCGTCTCACAGTTTGCTTCAAACTCTTTACGGAACTGGCAGCAATAACCTGAAGTAAAAATAAAGCAACAGTTTTCATGCACTCAATTCAATTATTTCATTTTCCTATTTCACAGTTGTTTGTCTGGCCTTTGTGTCTGTACATTCTGGGCATTTAACATATTCATCAGTATTGTCATTATATCATTAATATCATCATTAAAAGTAATCTTACTAATATAAATTTCCAAAGTGGTTTATTTCATGAGAAGACCCATGTGCATTTTACAGAGCATGTTGAAATTTAAAAAAGAACAATTTTGAAATTTACAGGATTTCTATGAGTCTTATTTATTAACTCACCTCTGTAGGCTGCAGCGATAATTTATCTGTTACTATCTGTCCGGGTTTACCACGGTTAGACTTCAGCAGATGCTTTTATCTCACTGCGGACTTTAAGTGCCTGCATTGCAAATTTGTCAGGAGCATGACTGTGCGCGGTTTCAGATTTGACAGAAGACACCTAGAAATAGAACATAAAGTTAGCATGCTGAAATTAATATTTACCTATTATAATTCAGATTTATGCATACTTTTATTATGATGTGCTTTATGTCTCCATTAATATTTTCATGTAATCTCTTTTGCTTTACTTAAAAAGAGTGCTATACAAAGGTTAAAAAAAATAATAAGACGAAAAAAAATTAATTCAGGCATAACTTGCACAATTGATACATATTAGTTTATCTCATGTTCAATGTACCAAATGATTATTATTGATTATATACTTACATGTAAATCAGTAGTCAGTGCACCTTTACAGTTCAGACCAATTCTCTGAGAGCATTCCCACCGCATTGAGGACTTATTTTCATTTTTCTTTGTGTAGGCATAACCTTCATACAGAAGCTTACGAGAACCTTTGTTACTTGTAATGAATTCCATTTTGGGTATTCATGTCTATTGCAGAGAGCCATCATATTATATACCCAACAAAATAACAGTTTGCAGTTAAGTAAAACAAAGATGAAGTAATTTTAGATAGCAAACTGCAATTAATAGCCTCATTTTAAGTTATTATCTGGAAAGATCTAAAGCTAGTGTGCAACAAATTTGCCTTTAAAGGTGTTTATCATTGCAAAGATTAATTGATTGTTTGTTACATATAACTATAATTGCAATGATTAAATTATAATCAACTATCATTTATTTGTTTGTATTTTACAATTTTCTCAGCAATAATAACATCAATAAAGGGTGCCATTATTAACTGGCTGTGACAAACATACACCTTTTAATTGTTTGTATGCTTTTCTCTTTTTTTTCAGCAATTCTTGAAGCAGTTGGTTCTTAAATTCATTGAACTAAAAAGAAAAATAAGAAAAGAAATTTCCCAACCATTTCACATTATTTGAGGGGATTTTGACTACCCACTGAGGGGATTATGACCACCCCTTTATTTTTGCCAAGGGGATTATGATAACCCTGTCATTTCTGTTGAGGGGATTTCGATCACTATGTCGTTTATCAACCAAGGGGATTATGATCAAGGGGATTTTGAGCGTCTCCCGCCTAAAGCGCTACGTTACTCAATACTTATTCATCTATTTACTAGTCGAACACGGACGGTAATGTTCCGTGAACACTTTTTACTTATTTCCATACCTTTTTTCACTATGTGATTAAGTAAGATTTAGTCAGAGCCACTTTTATTCTCATTTGAATCATAACTGACTTTATCTTCAAAATGTTGATACGTAATTTCATTTTTTTTACACACTATCAGACTTTCATTATAACAACATAACAGTTGTTTATCAATGTAGCACTTGATCGCTATTGTACTTTTAACAAAGGATTACACCTACTCCAAGCAAATAATATCCAAGTCATTCAATGTAAGCAAACTGTAAAATTTAATGCTTTTGTATAGTCACAGCGACTAGCTAATAATCATTAAGCATGATAATGACTAATAATTGACAATTTTTTTCAGGGTCCAATCAGGTATCTATAACATACATACATAATTCTTTACACATTTCTACAGCATCTGTGTTTACATGTTTTTTTTGTTAAGTATATAATAATAAATATTCTGTATGTTTATGTTTTTATTTGGTTGAAGCTAGAAATGTTCGCGTATTTGTTATAACTGACATATTCGCGGCTTCAATTGTATAAAGATTCACAGAATCATGCCTACCACGAAAAGTGCTAACATCTTTTCTAGGAATACAGTATCCAACTAGTAGAAATATGCTAACAAAAACTATTTTCAGTCTAAAAAGGGAAATAGCTGGGTTAAATGGATACTGAAGTTATGTTACTTGTAGGTCATGCCTTATGTAATGATTTGTGTGTATGGTATGAAGCAATTGGTAAGATAAAACATAAGGTTTATAAAGGGAAATAACTCGCGGATAATGGATTCTACAGTTATACTACTTGCCAAGGTCATATTCTTTGTACTGGTGTGTAAATAATGAAGCCATTGGAGCATATAAAACATAAGAAAAATCCAATTTGCAAGAATGGCATAACTCTTGAGGCCAGCTGCTTGATAGAAAGATGGTTCAATTTCTAAACATGCCCGTGGCTATAAAAATGGTGCTGTGTGAGTAAGATAAGACCATGCTTACCCGACCAGAGATATATATGATACTGGAAAAACTTTCCGAGAATATTGGTTAGTTGGCTGTTGAGTTTAAGACCTGCTGGAGCTCCCATTAACCAGTCTAAGAGCACATTTAGTTCTCCAGCAACTTTCTGAAATTACATCAATTTTAATAACACAAGGAAGAACTTTGATGTTTACACATTTATGCAAAGCCTGAAAGGTATAATGAATTTTACAGAAAAAAGAACATTTTTGTTATATGCTAAGTATGGTGCCAAAAAAAAGTCTTTGGTGAAAATATGAACAAGAGGGCCAAGATGGCCCTAGATCGCTCGCCTTACCCATCAAACTCATCCGAGGAATGACCTAGACGTGCATCCTGACCAAGTTTCATGACAATTGTGTCAAAAATGTGACCACTAGAGTGTTAACGAGGTTTATCCATATTTGGGTGGTGTAACCTAGTTTTTGACCCCAGGTGACCCATATTAAAGCTTGACCTAGAAATCATCAAAACAAACTTTCAGACCAATTTCCAGGATATTTGGATCAAAACAGTAGCCACTACAGAACAATATTTTTCTATTTTTAGCTCATGTGACCTAGTTTTTCATCGAAGATGACCCGTGTTTGAACTTATCTGAGCAATTACCTAGACAAGCACCTGACAAAGTTTGATGACGATTGAGTAAAAATTGTGACCACAAGAGTGTTTACGAGGTTTTTCCATATTTGGGCGGTGTGACCTAGTTTTTGACCCAAGGTGATGCATATTCAAACTTGACATAGAAATCATCAAAACAAATTTTTAGACCAATTTCCAGGATATTTGGATCAAAACACTAGCCACTAGGGTATTAACAAGATTTTTCTATTTTAGCCCCTGTAAACCTTTTTTTCATCCGAGAGGGCCATGTTCAATCATAAGCAATTCCCTAGAAAAAGCATTCCTTGTGATGATAGGGGCAAATTTTTTGCGCTAGAGGTTATCAACGAATGTGGAGGGAAACGACGGATGACACCCGAAAGCCCATTCAACGTTTTAAAAAAACTCCCCGAGCAAGCCAGGTGAGCAAAAAAGCTTTTAGAAAATTAAAAAATGGGAATATGTTTTAAAAGCAAGAGGATTTGGTAGAAATCTTGGCAAAAAGTGTTTTCCCAAAAAAGCAAAAAAATTCCCTGGGTGAGGGGGAATAATTCTCCCTATTCAAAAAAAGGGCAAGCTAAAAAAAGGGCAGATGAAAGTCTTTTTTTCATCAATTATTTAAAGCAAAAATAATTATATTGATGAACTATTATTAAGGGCCATTTCCAAGGCGATAATTGGCTATTAAATTTAGTACATTATAACATACTGTATCTATTTACTTAAACCAAACTCAGGCAGCAATGTTCACTAATGTTTTAGACTTTCATATACATATACATGTATTAGGTATAATTTAAAAAGTAACTTTTATTAAGGAAAATGATGGTTTGAAATTCTTCAAGGACAATGGCAACATATTGCTTATATAAAGAAGTGGATGTACAATAACATTGTTGTTTTGCTACTTTATAGCCTGGGAATCAATATAATAAAGCTAAAACTTATTGTAGGGAAAAACAAATTGTTTACTTCAAATTTTAATTGGTGTTGCTATAACATTGATTTTACCAATAGTAGGTTTTTCAATAGTGTCTCATTAATAGGTCATAACATTTAAATTGCAGTTTAAAGTCTCAAATAACTTGTTTAAAACAATCATCCTATGATGAATTTACCATCTCTAAAGCAATCCGAATTTAATGGCCCATTATGCCTTAGATATGTTCTCATTTTTATTTTTCTAAAATGTTTTATTTTGATATATAGTTAAAATTAAAAAAAAAATAAGTCTTAAATTCAGAAATATAACTCACATCTCCATATGATAGGCAAATGTTGGCTAGATACTGTGCTGTGTTGTCATACATGAGGAAATACATGAGTGACACTCCTAGTGTAGTATCTATCAGCTGCTGTAAACATGTGTTTACACATCTGTATTCAAATAAAACATCAATTGTTTGGTTAAAACAACAGATAAAATGAAAATTGAATGAATTTGGATGTATTCTTTCACAGCTGTTTTTTTTTGTCAATACATTGTTATATCTGCCTCAAAACATGATTGTCTACAACAAAACAGGTAATTCTTGATTTATCTTACATTATATTATAAAAGCATTTCAATCAAGCAACTCTTTGTGAAAAATTTTCATATGATGATGGGTTCTAATCAAGTGTTATAAATGATATATTTGTGGACAGTGACAAACCAAATTCTTGTACATGTGAGTAAAATTTCATTCACTTGAATGTCATACGAAAGTTACCTATCAATGCAGTCCTTCATTGAAAGACTTCGCATTTTCTTTCTTTTTACAGTTTTACGTTTTTTGGAAAATACGGAATTGATCAATGTAAAAACTAGCTTTACTTCAAAATATTTGGACTACTATCTATCACAGCTGCCTAACCGGTACTAGTACTGCAGTGATTTTGCAAGTACTGGTACTGATACTGAATTACTCTTACAAAATGTTGCCACTTAAAAAGTGGTACTGCTACTGCATTACCAGGCAGTACTTTTGTTTTGATAAAAATATGCCATCAGTTTTTCTTTTTGATTTACTATTAAAGAAAGAGCTAGATTAACACTAATTGATTGCTTCTATTGTAAATAATCCTATTTCAAGTGACATTGTTAGCACCATAAAAAGTTGTAGCAGTACCGAGGTAAAATCTAGTACTGGTAATGGTACAGCATAACTTGGCAAGTACTGGTACTGGAACTTAAGTACTACATCCTTAGTATTGATACAGTTCTGCTATCTATGCACTCTTATAGTCACAAGAGTAACCAGTTTTAGGAACAAAATATTACAATTATGATAGTGTTTGAATTTCAGACTCCACACACATTACTCTAGTTTTCTGGTTATTAGCTTCAATCTTAAATATTCATTTTAATTTATTGAATATAGTAAGCATAATGAAAAAACACAAATAAAGAAATAGTCACGTTTGGATTATAAATATCAAATTATCATAAAGTTTGTCCTTAATCAAGTTATTCATAAACAACAAGTTACAATTCTTTCCATAACATGCATGTTGTCTTACCTCAATCTAAAACCTGGCTCTGACTTATTACAAGACCTGATATTGTCCAACACTGCTGACCGTCCTGACAGTTGTGATATTGTAGATGAAATACCCATCACTTTCTGGAGATGCCTGCTTAATCTACACCTTCAATTATCACCATATTATTAATTACCTTAGTCTTATAATAATCATGATTCCTTGTCATAATCATCCCACTGATCTGTAACAAGAGGGACATCGTGGATCTATAGATAGATCGCTCACCTAGGATCCATTGGTAGACATCATCATTATTTCAACAATAAAGAAATAAGTCAAAGGGTCAAGTTCAAGGACTTTCACTGTTAAGTTTTCAGCTCTTATCAATTTGAACCAATTATAATAATATAGCAGGACATCAGAGAACTTTTGCCCATGTGAACTAATAACAACAAGCAATTATCATAGTATTGCAAGCAATCCATAAGTCCCCTACCGGTTAGAACCCCAGCAGCATTCTGATGGGCCATTGGCCATTCAATTTTACCAGTGGATGAATGACATGAATGAACTTAAATCTTTTGAGTTCTAAGTTTGTCTATATCACAGTAATGTGTTAAGTTTCCCTGCCTAGTAAGGAAATTCTGTTTATACAACCTTGTCATATTATTATGATGTGGGATTTTAAAGTAAATCCTATAAGGAATGAAGAAGTTGGAGTGAAAATACCAATTTCTCGAAAAAAAATCTAAGTTCAAAGGGGAGATAATTCTGGAAATAGTCTTGCTAGAGTATTTAACCTTCTCAAAAATGTTGAGTGATAATAAGAAACATATATATGAAGTTTGAAGTAGATACATTAGGAAATAAAGAAGTTATTTAAAAAAGACAACATTTTTTTTTCATAAAAATTAAAGGAAGGTAATACTGATAATTTTTGTGCTAGAGTTGTAAACCTTGTCACATATGATGTGGTTGATGGCCAGAAACTTATATTTAAAGTTTGAAGTAAACACCTTAAGAAATAAAGAACTTATAGTGAAAAAGCTAAAAAATTTAAATCAGAAATCTTGAAATTAAGGCTATTTGTTGCCATAGCAACCAGAATTTTCAACATAGGAAGAAAAGAAAAAAATGTGCATAATCTCCAGACTGCCATCTACCCATATTTCAAGTTTCATAAAAATATTTTCAGTACTTTTTGAGTTATCACTTGATCCAGTTTATGTGTTAAATTTGCCATATTTTCAGAATATTTGTTGCCATAGCAACCAGAATTTTCAACAAAGGAAGAAAAAAAAAGACGTGCATAATGTCCATACTACCATCTATGCATATATCAAGTTTCATAAAAATATTTTCAGTAATTTTTGCGTTATCGCGGGATCCAGTTTTGTAGACGGACGGACTGAGAGACAGACTGACAGACGGACGGACGGAGGGTAAACCTAAAGTCCCCTCCGGTTAAACCGGTAGGGGACTAACAAAAGAATTAACATGACTTCCCTTATTATGAAGACAGACAAGTCTAAACACTTTATCCTACACTTAAAGCATATGTCACATGTATGTTATTATATACAATGTATAATGATAGTTTGATTTATTAATGGCAAAACTGTTTAAAGTCTTGCCAAAGATTTTAATTCACACAGATATTCAAACATAACATCCCTGTATAAATCCTATGGCTTTATGAAGGAATATGAAAAAAGCAGAAATTTTATAAAGCCAAATTAAGCAAATCTAAGATGAAACAAACATGTAGAAACAAATATGAACAATATATATAAACTGTATCATTCTGTTTTAAACTGTTCATATGTTCACATTCCAACACATTTATGAAAGAGTAGCATACATGTATAAAATTCAATATTTACCTTTGCATAGGTAGAAGACATATTATGAATGGCAGGTATATAAGGTAAACAAAGGATGTAAGGAAAGTGAACATCCACTGACGGAAGCTGTTTGTCTTGGACATGAAGGTATACACTGTAATACTGTCTGAAATCTCATACCCACAGAGACAAGAATTTGTACTGTGAAGTATTCTTACTAAAGAAGTTATACTGTCATTTTGTTCAGAACTTTCAACGGCTTTTTGCTTCAAATTTACAGACTCTAGTAAATCTGAAGGTCTATATATAAAGACAGTACACTGGCAGGCAGTTCTGTTGCTGATGGCTTCACATTGGACATTTGCACTTTTATCCTTCCAAATGTTTATCCATTGCTCTAGCATTGTGTCAGTTCTATTTTTGGAAACATCCTCTCCTTCTCCATACCAATAACCAATCAGCTGATGTTCTGGCAGCTGATTGGCTGCTGAGGCATCACATGATGAGGCTGTGATATAAACTGATTGAGTTTCTTTTTTCACATGACCAATAAGGTATGATTCTGGCTGACTCAGAACATCACATGGTACAAACACTTTCAATATTTGGTATTTGGTCATCTTTAATACCTGAAAATTAAGATTTCATCAACATCAGAACCTATCAATGGTTGTTATCAACTACCATCAGAGTTACATGCAATTGTGATAAATATGAAATTTATTCTGTAACATAATAAATTGAAATAACAGTTATATTTCCATTCAAAAACTTATAATGTGCATTTATGTAACAAAAGAAAAAACACAAGCCACTGTTGGGCGGGGGCAACGCTTGACTTTTTTACTTTTTTGAAAAGGAAACAAATAAACGGTTTAAACAAATCTTTATAAAGAGAATTAAAGAAGAAAAAAAAGTTTTTTCCTTTTTTTTTTAGTTTAAATGGGTCTGTCTAGTTAAGTAAAGAAAATATAATCAAAATTTAATAATTCGACTGACAAGGTCCTATCTAAATTATTCCACATGTCTGTTTGGTCACAAGTGTTGTTTTGTCCCATATGTATCAAATCTGTACATAAATAACACAATAATGACAACTTTAACCTTAAGGGTCAAGGTCATTTAAATCTCAAGGTCATTATTGAAGGTTCCACAGTTAAGGTCATGTCAAAAAGGTTGTTTTGTCTAAGTATGAAAATAATCCATTGATTCATTACCAAGTTACAGCCGATCAGTAAAAATTTAATAATCTGACCTTCAATGTCAAGGTCATATATGAGTCAAGGTCAATTTGAGTCTAATATAAGATGAAGATCCTGACCTAAATGATATTGTGTCCATATATGAAGTTAATTCATTTATAAATAACAAAGTTAGAGCCAGGTACAAAAAAAATATAAAAAAAATAAATAAATAAACACATACACAGAAACAAGAGAATTTCATTAATTTTAATGTTCACAAGGTCAATTTAAGGTCAAGGTCACATCTTAAGAAAGAATAAATCAAATCAGTACATACATGATGTAAATAGCAATATTATGACAATTTGAGTTTGATTTCCATGAATGATGATGGTGTTATGCTATTTCTGATAGCTCTATCTGATATCTTGTCATAATACAAATAGCGGAATATCATCCGTAAAATCATTTAGTAGATCTACATGTACATCTAAAAAAATATATTATTGTTCTTTGACAAAATTTAAGACATGAAAGTTACTGACTTCATCATTGAATTTTTCTATTATAACAAGGGCCATAAGTGATGACATGTGTCGCATCATGATAGCCAATCGCATGCCGCAGATACTGTGTAGCAGGAGACCCAAAAATCATTAACAGGGCAAAACCCTTCTTTATTCAAGGGCAATAACTCAGCTGAAAATCATTACTTGTGTATTATGCACAAGTACTTGACCTACAAATCAATCCTGTAAAGTTTCATTGACATTGCACTGGTGGTACAAAAGTAGTTTGGACAACTTTAAACAATAAAAAATAATTAAATGGCCATAACTCCAAAGAAATTCATTGAACAATAAAAACAAGAGTGATCAGTGATCACATGTGTCGCCTCATGATGGCCAATTTCATGTTGGGAAAAGTTTTGTGACAGACGCACAGATAGACGGACAGTGTACAACTACACTTGGTACTGATCATTCCTGTAAAATTTGGATAAAATTGCACCAGGAGTTTATTAGGAGTAGTCCCGACAAGCTTTCGTGTATCTGGCAACACACAGAAAAAAACACTTTTTGATTAAAGGGCCATAACTAGGCCAAAAATCATTCAACCAGAAAAAACATGCAATATGTGCAAGTACTTGAGCTACAGATCAATCCTGTAAAGTTTCACTGAAATTGCATTAGTGGTATAAGAGGAGTAGTCCGGACAAACTTTAAAAATAAAAATCATTGAACGGCAATAACTCGGACAAAAATCATTGAACCGTAAAATGCTGACGATATGCACAACAAGACTTGGTACTGATCATTCCTGTAAAGTTTGGATGAAATTGCACGAGTAGTTTATGAGGAGTAGTCCAGACAAGCTTTTGTGTATCTGGCAACACAAAGAAAAAACACCTTTTTATCAAAGGGCCATAACTCGGCCAAAAATCATTCAACCGGAAAACCCGTGCAATATGCGCAAGGACTTGAGCTACAGATCAATCCTGTAAAGTTTCATTGAAATTGCATTAGTGGTATAAGAGAAGTAGTCCGGACAAACTTTAAAAATAAAAATTATTAAAGGGCCATAACTCTGACAAAAATCATTGGACCCAAAATGCTGACAATATGCACAACTATACTTGGCACTGATAATTCTTGTAAAGTTTAGATGAAATTGCACCAGTAGTTTATTAGGAGTAGTCCAGACAAGCTTTTGTGTATCTGGCAACACACAGAAAAAAACAACTTTTTATCAAAGGGCCATAACTCGGCCAAAAATCATTCAATCGGAAAACCCGTGCAATGTGCGCAAGGGCTTGAGCTACAGATCAATCCTGTAAAGTTTCATTAAAATTGCATTAGTGGTATAAGAAAAGTAGTCCGGACAAACTTTAAAAATAAAAATTTTTAAAGGGCAATAACTCTGACAAAAATCATTGAACCGGAAAATGCTGACAACTAAAGTTTGGTTGAAATTGCAGTTATTTTAAGGAACTTGCAGGGGCGGATACAGAACATGGTTTCCTGGGGGGGGGGGCTGACATATATGGGGTGGAAGATTTTGATAAAAATAACACAACAGTCGAAAATTGTGCATGTTTTAAGATTGGGCCAGCATCTTATTCATGTGACAAAAATTGTAATTTATGTGTTTTAACAGCTCAACTTATGAGTGGCAATGTACTTTTGCTTTTATATATGTGTATACTAATGTTTTTTAAAAATAACTAGATGATATGGAATTAAGTAAAATTTATGTAAACTAATTGGGGTGGGCCTGGGAGGGGTGTCCCCTCCCATAGACTGAGAAAATTTTGAAATATGAGGTTGAAAATGGTGTTATTTCCTTAACTTTCTAGTGCTGTTATGGTACCTTTTGGATTTTGTAGAGGTTAGTGTTTGCAATGTCTTTCATATAGAATTCCTGTGGTATTAAGTATCCTGGGACAACCAATATTCAATCAGTTAAGTTGTTTTTAGCCAATAATAAATGGAAGGGGAAATTATACTTTAAATTTATTTTAGATATTAATGCATCTATTAACACTTATTCATTTTCAGGTTGGTAAATTTTCAACAAGTCTTGATCTTTCATAGAAATTCAATAAAAACAATATGACCCACTCGGGTTACTCCCAGGAATATTTTAACCTAAATTCAAACAGCAGGGTGATCACCATGGAAAATTTGTTAAAGATAAATCAGGGCCACTAAAAATTATAGAAAATTTCACAATAGTCTATTCAACGATATTCAACAGTTTTTTTCAAGATTTTAAAAACTTTACACTAAATGTTATAATATATGTACAGCACACTGCATGGTATGACTACTGTTAATGTGTATAAAAAGCAATTAAAGGTGTCACTTCTAAGTACGCTTTTTGGGGTGCAAAATGATAAATGCATCCAATCTTGACAGCCATTTAACCTTCCCCACTTTATGATATTAGCAAATATGGAAACTTGTCTAGGTCTGCCAGCTGGTATCGCTTACAAAACAATTATTCTACAATCATCACATGAAAAAATTTGATAACAATATAAGATTTTATTAATAAGGACCCCCATTTAAAGTCTGATGAATATTTAGTGGTATATCATATAAATAAATGTTATAAATACACCTAGGACTGAGGTAAATGGTAAAACTCTTTAGCCAATACTTTATAAAAAAAAATAACTTGCTTAGAAAAACTTTTACCACTATTTTAAACAAGTGACTATTTTGATATAGTGAAAGTTGGACAATTTATATTGTGTCACTTGAAACAAACAGTTTCTTATTGTTTTTCTGAAAACATCTGACAATTAATCAAGTGTGGTATTTCTGCAAGTTTTAAAGTTAATACAACATGTGACTTTATGCAATTTAGTCAGGCATGACATCAGTGCCACATAATTAAGAATGTGTTTGAATTTAGGTTGTGATTGAAAATTGGTTGTTTCGGGATAGTAAGCATAAAATATAACTGTCATAAAAAGTTATATAAAGCAAATCACCAATCATTTCATCTTGATAAAAAATATTAGTACATTAGCGAGAAGAAAATATTTTGGAAACTAGCATTGGCACTCAATATTTTTTTACTACTTGGACTGGAGTGTGATAAAACTAAAAGCTTCGAGATCGAGTTTGGCTCGTCAGTATTTTTTGACTAGAGCTATCGTGATACAGGAATAAAGCAGATTTTAAGTCAGAAGTACATTTTTATTTTTCCGTAATTCACAAGCTCGAAAAATTCAAATGAGTATCAAACTGACCGTAAAAACTGGTAAAATTTCTTCCTGAAGAACAGAAGACTGATGAAGTATAGTGATCTCCCGTACAAAGGGAAACAACTGCTGTCCATCTAGGCGTATTTGTTTGACATTAACGTATTGTAATTGTAATGTAATGAGATATTGCCACACTTCAGACTTTTGTCTATTTGTTTATTATAATTTTGTGACACATATGCACCTTTTTGTGACAATCCGATATACATTTGATAATGTAAATAATGCAATTTTTATCAATAAAGGCAATATCGGTAATAAAGTTTCTTATTTAGAATGGATGCTAGTTATACGTTCTCTCCGGAATGTTCCTGATTAAAAATCAAGTTCTACCTATTGGTTACCGGCTTCTAACATGCAACGTAAACACTAGTAGTTATCGGAACAGGTAAATATAAAACGATAAAATAGTCATAGTACTGAATTATTGATCGAGAAGTTTTAATGTTGTATTTCTAAAAGTTGATAGTTATTTTGTTGAAGATATAAAATTACCGTTAAATTTCTTTCAGTTATTTTTGTCACAGATATATTTTATTCGCACTCTTTTACATTCGTACATGGGTATAGATGGATACCGAAAATAAGCTATTTTCGCGAAAATAAGATCGCGGCTACGAAAATAAGATTTATTTTTTAAATAGTGCATTTATCTGTTGAAATAATTATGTAAAATATATATTTATGGATTCATTGAATGATTTTACAGCAAATTAAAATTTCAGAACCAAAAAAATATTTAAAAAAGTGAAGTTTGAGCCGAAAATACTATCGTACGAAAATAGCTCAAATTAAATAAAGCGAAAATAAGATCGGGTCTACGAAAATAAGATTTATTTTATGATATAATGTATTAAAAACGTATTTTTTGTTTCTTAACAATTGATTTGTATGAATGAAATAATGAATTTCAGAACTAAAAGTATATTTAAAAAAAAGTGAAGTTTGAGCCGAAAATACTATCGTATGAAAATAGCTTAAATTGCCGTGTGAATCGAAAATACGATCGGGTCTGCGAAAATAATATTTATTTTTGATATAATGAATCAAAAACTATTTTTGCTGTTATTAAATGATTTGTTTGAATGAAATAATAAAGAATAAAAAATTTTGTAATGAAATATTAGATGTTTGTGCGGCAAATATGGTACATGTAAATATTCCAAATTTACTATAGTAAGAACGCATGAACATATTTAACCAAGATGGCATCTACGAAAATATATGTAAAATTTATACATAACTTATATTAAAATAGTGTTAACTTTACTTTAATGATTTTGCAAATAAGTTTTAAGAATGAAATGTTCTCTTATAAGACAAAAAATGTTTGTGGTGAAAAAGTATCAAAATAAAAAAAAGAACTATTGCAAAAACAACCTGAAACAACGACTACGAAAATAAGATCTAGATCTACATGTATATAAGAATATGTACCGTACGAAAATAAAATCATAACAGTACTCTACGAAAATAAAATCTGTAAGGAAATAAAAGATGTATGAAAGTAATGTTCATACGAAAAAAGGTATATACCAAAATAAGATCTTGCTGTAAATAGTTAATACCTGTATGAAATTATTTATTATTTATGAAAGAACTACATGTACGAAAATAAGATCTGTAAACAATTCAAAGTCAAAACCTGTATGCATTGATATTCGTACAAAAATAATTGAGAATGTGATCTGTATGGAAATACTATATGTACGAAAATAAGATCCTATTGAAAATAACACTATACGAAAATAAGATCTGTCTGTATTCGACTAAGATTTTTACAAATGAAAGATCTGTGAAAATGAAAGTTGCATGAAAATAATATCCTTACGAGAATAAGATACATATGAAAATAATATATGTAAAAAAAATCCTGTATGAAAATACTATATATACGAAAATAAGATCCTATAGAAAATGTGATCTATACGAAAAAAAAAAGATCTGTAAGAAAATAATACGCACGAATATAAGATCTATATGAAAATAAGATCTGTATGAAATAATGTCTGTTTTTTACTAAGACTTTTACTTTTAAATTCTGTGAAAATAAAATCCTTGTGAAAATAAGATTTATACGAAAATAATTAAGATCTGTACGAAAATAATGTCTGTATAGGAATAAGACTTATACGAAAATAATATTTGTATGATAATAATATCTTTATCAGAATGATATGAAAAACGACTCTATATGAAAATAGTGTCTTTACAAAATAAGATCTTTAACGAAAAGAAGATCTGTGTAAAAATATGTCTTAATTTTTGATAACAAAATCTGTTAAAAATCTGTAAAAAATAAGATATCTATATGAAAATTTGATATGATTGGTGACAATGATAAATCGCCAATAAACACCTTTAATGAAGGGCTTTAATAAGTGTGTGTCAATTACGATAAGTGCGAAGAACCAGTAATCCAATCCTCGTATTAGCGCATTGATTGCTCCCGACAGTCATGTGCACGTGTCATACGTTGTGTCATTTTTTCCTTCTCTCAAATAGAAATATCTTGTTTATGCATTATGTAATTAAAGCACTTAAAGCAATAAAGTTATATACTTTTCTTTTACTTAATATAGATATTATTTTCATATAAGAATCTACAAGTATCTTCAATTATCTTTTATATTGCTAAAATTCATTTCCATAGTGATATCTTATTTTCATATAGATATCTTATTGTTTACAGATTTTGATCTCTTTTTCGTATCATTCTGAAACAGACATTATGTTCATACTAATACATTTGTATTATTTTCGTTTAGATCTTATTTTCGTAAGGAAATTTTTTTCATGCAAATTTCATATTCACAGATCTTATAAAAATATTTGTAAAAAGCTTAGACTCATACAGATTTTATTTTTGCAGAGATCTTATTTTCGTATACGAGTAAATCTTAAATTCGTGCAGATATATCAATTCATGCAGTTATTGTTTTTACAGATCTTATTTTCGTACATACATAGTATTTTCATACAGGTATTATTTTTTAACAAAGCTCATTTCCGTATATATATCTTATTTTTGCATAGATCATATTTTCAATTAGATCTTATTTCGTACAAATTTCAATTTATATATACGGATTTTAATTGTTTACAGATCTTATTTTCGTATAGATCATCAATTGGATCTTATTTTCGTACATGTAGTATTTTCATACATATACTACTTTTCATACAGGTATTTTTTACTAACAGGTCTTATTTTCGTATGTACATAATTTTCAAACTAACGGATCATATTTTCGTAGAGTACTGTACAGTATAGATTTTATTTTCGTACATATTATATATATTGCAGTAGATCTTAAACTTGTAGTCGTTGTTTTTGGTTATTTTCGCACTAGCTAATTCTTGCTTTTATTTTGATACTTTTTCACCACTACCTTTTCTTGTCCTATAAGAGAAGATTTAATTCAATTCTTACAATCTTATTTGCAAGTAATACAATATAATTTTATAAGTTATTATCTATCTTATTTTCGTAATCGCCATCTTGGGTTATTTTCGCATGCCTTCTTTCTATACTTTCTATATTTTGGACATTACCATGTATGCCTCACAAACGTCTAATATTTCATTACAAAATACTTCATTCTTTATTATTTCATTCATGCAAATTATTTAATAACAATAAAAATACGTTTTTCAATACATTTTATCAAAAATAAATCTTATTTTCGTAGACCCGATCTTATTTTCGCTTTAAGCTAGCTTTCGTACGATAGTATTTTCGGCTCAAACTTCACTTTTTAAAATATTTTTTTGGTTCTGAAATTTTAATTTGCTGTAAATTCATTCAATGAATGCATAAATATATATTTTACATAATTATTTCAACAGATAAATGCACTATTTAAAAAATAAATCTTATTTTCGTAGCCGCGATCTTATTTTCGCGAAAATAGCTTATTTTCGGTATCCATCTATACCGTTCGTACATGGCTCCTTCGTGCATATTCGTACTTCGATATTTTTTATGGAAGTGGCTAGCCGTACGGGCCCGTACGGCTAGCCAAAAGTTCTAGCCTAATGTGAGTCACGTACGACTAGCCTGGACAAACTGTATTGGCTAGCCGTACGGCACTTTTCAAAAATATATGGAAGTCGAAAATGCATATGTTATTTTGTGACTTTAAACGACGATTTTAATCAAATCTCCGCATTTGTCCTAGTTTGTTCACTTCAATAAAGATGCTCCGCAATTTTGCAAAAAAAAAAATGAATACGAGTAAGCGTTGTATAATCTAGCTTAATAAAATTAAGTGTCAAAGTTGCATGTTATAACGTCCTTGATGTTTATGCTTATGAATTGTATGAAAGATGAATTGTTAAATCTGTTAAGCACATGGATCGAATAAATAATGATCGGAGGGGAATAAATAAATACATGTAAATAAAAAAAAAGAATATTAGAAAAAACGGTGAAAAAGAAAAATAATTTAATAATGCAAACTTTCCTTAATGATGGACGATGGACAAACTTCTATACCGACGGTAATTGACGCAATTATCAGAGCCCAACAACAATTATTTTCGGTGTTTTTTTTTTAATTTAAAAATTAAACTTAATGAAACAAAAAAGGATTAATTTTGTAAACTATTTCAATTGATGTTATTTAACTGCAGCCAAACGCTATTTTTTTCTCGACGTACGTCTTGAGATGACAAAGTACATTCTTTACTGTAGCCAACGCGTTGATTAATCTCTAAAAAGTAAACATTCTTCTTTTAAAATTTTCGCTTTAAGTCATATTTAACATATGCACTTTCACCTTCAATGTGCCGTACGGCTAGCCAGTACAGTGTGTCCTGGCTAGTTGTACGTGACTCACTTCCATTTTTTTATTGATATCAGAACTTAACATGTATTTAAACTTTATATTACTGTCATAGCTCAGACCTGTTCATTATTTAGTGTAGAAAATATGGAAGCAGCCAGATGGCTCATTCACCAGAGCCATACATGTATGGCACACTGTCACAATTGTCCTTCAATATGAAAGACA